TTTTATTTTCTATAGCACAAAATCACAAATTTGCCCCAGAGGGCTTTACAGTCTGTACACATGTGACATCCTCTGTCCCGAAAACCCCACATCAGCTCAGGAAAAACTCCTCAAACAATGAAAAAGCCTCTGATAGGGAGAATAAAAGGGAAGAAACCTTTAGAGAGACCCTCTAGAGGAGGATCCCTCTCCCGGGATGGAGAGACTACGATGGATGTACAGAATGAACAACGTAAAAGATGTACAATACGTTCACATTCAATTCATTCATACGACAGAAATGATTCAAATACACATATCTCCTTATATGTGTTGATGATCATCTCCTGCACGTCTTCCTTTGAGTTTATTTGCCATTGTACTGTTGGAGAATCCTGGTTTCGGTGATCGACTTTTCCGCTTTCTAACGTAAGACGCATGCGCGATTATCCAGATGTCAGTCACATCTGGTACAAATTAACGAGATGATTTGATCTGCCTTCGAAGAACCGAGATAGTCAGACAACAATCATCACGTTAATTTGAGCTGGAAAACATGCGACATTTGATCGACTTTGTTGAACCTCGTACGAGGAATAGGGCCCTGGTCAGGAGAGTAAGTTTCAACTACTTTAGCGATTGGTTGAGTATTAACCAGAGCTGTCTTTCGTGGTAGGGTGATTTTTTGTATTGTTCCCTACTGGCATAACTAAATACGATTGCTTCTGGTTTTGGACTTCAAGCAGGCCTTCCTGAACATCAAGCTGTTCTAATGGCACGCTGTCTTTGTCTGGTTCAAACAATACAAAGTGGTCAGATGGATCCATGTTGGATGGAACAGGTGACCTGGTCATCTCTGTCTCTAAAGGGAGTTGACCTGAAAAGGTTTCAGAATGAGTTGTGTCAGTGGATTTGGTTAATGGTGACTGTCATGAACAGCGTCATTATTAATGGTATAGTCATATAGTAGCATATTCTAACCCTAATAACATTATGAACAGTGATTTCATCAACAAATCCTCTATACCCTTGTCTTTGAACTCAAGAAGGTGCTGTCCACAAAAGAGCTGCTATGTTAAAAGCAACCATTGAGATCTCCCTCTTCTAGTACAGACTGGTGCTGGTCTGGCTTTGGACCCACCATTTTGGCAATGGAAAGAATTCATCCCTTCACCGAGTGAGTGGGCGCTTCCTAATGTCCTACACTAGGCTCTTCCTCTCACTGTCCGACATCGTAGCTATTTTCCTCACGTGTGGTTCCACAGTCCAGTAACTCCATCCCTGCTTCAGTTCACCAGTCTCCGCCCATATCTGTCTCTGTTCTCCCACAGCTTTCATGGACTCCAGCATTCGCTCTGCTCCCAAGTTTCGTATATATCACTGGATCAGCTCCTAGCCATTCGGTGGCACTGATCTCAGACGAGCCCCAAAACATCTGTTACAGATACCAGGATTTGTACCAAGTAGACAGATGATACGATACACTTCCATTACAATATAACACATAAAATGTTTACTGAGCCAACAGCACTTTGCATGTACGTGGCAGTGTGGTGCCATTTTCGCTAGTGCGTCACACCGGAAAATCTAACTAGACACCCACAAAAGCACACTCATATATTTATTTACAGACAACCATCGCTTAGCTACCTAACCGCCAAAACTGTTCCTTTATCCACACAAACTAATTTACTGCTCATTATTGCATTATTGCATTACCCACTTGCACACACGACACAAATTACCTTTACATCCTGTCGCTGCACGGAACAAGCAAAACGTCACTCGCAACGTTGTGTTAAGCCTCATTTATGCTTCTGCGTCTTCAGAGAGACCCAAGGACACACAGGAGCAAGAGCCCCCTGCGTGCCTTCTCACACCTCCTTGCGTGTGTCGACCCATTTTTGTAGTCGCTTTCGACGCAAGCCTCCCGCAGCCCACAAGGCTGCGATTGGACTGCATCCTCACATTTCCGTTTTCATAGCACAACCGCCATTATTAAAACAAAAAATGTTTAAGAGAAAATGGATCAGATTAAAGAGCTTTTGTCAGAAGAAATGCGTAAGTATGATCGCTTATACAACCCGTCATTGGCGGACTATAAGGACGCGCGGATGGCCTCTGATTCACGGAGGGAGATCGCCGCAAACGTCGGTTTGCCGGTCGAGAAGTGAACAAAGTTGTGGAGGAAAATACCGGACAAATGTGTCCGCGATGAAAAGCAGCAGTGTCGATGCACGGGGCAATAAAGTCTATGATAAATAAATAAACAAACCAAAGACTTCCACACACAAAGACGTGACTCTCTAGGTCGTCTTCGACAAAAACACGTTACTCCACCTGTTGTTCTGGAGGTGAATTGCTCTGCAACACACGCTAGAACCATGAGTTGAAACGAGTGCGTCGACACGACGGTGCGTAAAAACGCAGACGCATGCGCCAGCCTTGAGTCATTTTACTGTCCTAAAGGCTGTCTAAAGCAAAATAAAGTGCCACCCGCCCCCTGGTGGCTACATGGTAAAATGTATATTCCATACAAAATGAAAGCATTTCAGTTCCCTAAAAAACAACCCCCCCAAAAAAACACATTGGCAGCGGTGGTAGATTGAGGTGCCACTTAAAGTGAGAGACGGCCTGAGCCGCTTGACTAGTCTCTGGCGGGGTGTCACCTTTTTGTTTGAGGAACTCTGGCCTCAACACAAGTGTAGAAGTAGGATCTTATTTGAGCAGGATCATGATCTTATCCACGATTTTATTTGAAGTGTTTTTCATGTTGGATTTTAAATTAATCCCAGCTAGCATCGGGCAAAATACGGGGTACACCCTGGACTGGTCGCCAGTCAATCACAGCGCTAGAATAGAGACAAACAACCAATCACTCTCACACATCTACAAGCAATTTTAGATGTAATTAGCAATTAAACTCTGCGTACGAGACGTTTTCCGATGCGCACTCTCAGCCCACTGTGTGCGCGCACGTGTCTGTGTGCCCATTGGGACGGAACTCCCCCATGCACAGAAAAGACAAAGACAAAAAGACTTTCTTGAGGGGGGACGGCAAATCATTCAGAAACGTCCTGTTCAATCCTAAATTCTGGAACTTGTTTGGGAGACTCTTGTTCGGGGCCTGACTGTAAAAGCAGTATCTGAGAAACAGTAACGTCCGTTGTCTTGTGCTCAGTATTCTCAGGTGTAGCTGAGGTGAAAAAACAACAATTTAGACTTCGTCAGCATGATATTGCACCAGGACTGTCCTGGCCAAAGAAGTTCAGAGTCGAGTTACACTCACACGATTTGGTCGAGTAATTGATTGTATGGACTGATCTGTAAAACAGTGTTTTTCCTCATAGAATCACAAAAAAGATGCTAAGAGTAGCGTTCAATTTAGAATATAAAAATCTTGGTTGACAATGAACAGTAGGATTGATTTGTGGACTGACACAGAGGCTCCGCTGTCTTTATTCCCTAGTCGAGGCCTGTGTAAGGGGTTATTCCATCAATAATCCTCGCTGGTCACACACTCTGTCTGCTTATCGGACTATGTAGGGGAAATACTGGAGCTATAGAACTGTAACTAATGATTTTTATGTATCATAGTGCCATTTTAATTATTCGTGATCTAATTGCACGCTACTGTAGTCATGTATATTTCTGCCAGATTTACATTACATTACATTACAGGTCATCTAGCTGACGCTATTATCCTAAGCGACTTACATTACACTTTAAACCCATGGCTTTTTCACATTTTGCCCAGGGAGCAATTAGGGGTTAGGTGTCTTGCTCAGGGACACTTCAACATGGAACATGCGGCAGCCTGGAATCGAACCATCAACCTTGTGCTTCCCAGCACACCAAGTAATAGTAGGTGTGGTATTCAATCAAGTGAATACTTTAGGTTTATTTCATGTTGTATCATTTCAGTAAGTTATATTCCTTTTTATAATATTTCAGAGCTCATTAAATGGCTATTTTTGGATTATTAAAGATCACTTTCATCAGTCCATGGCTTGCAAACTGAAAATCCGGATGCTTAAGTGGTCTGGCAGGTATGAACCATCGCTGTCAACTTGCATTTAACTCACTCACGGTCAAGCGCCTTCCTCCACCCAATACCATGCGCTCCGAGTGCACCAGTCTATTGTAATCGCTGCCTGCCTTTTGTGCCCACACAGGGCTCAATGTGGCATTGGGAGAGACTTTTCCAGTAAGTCCAAGGGCTCAAGATACCCAAGATTATTAGGTTAAAACCAACCTAAGGTTGTCATGGCGCAGGGGGTAGAGAGGGTGCATCGGGGACCGCAAGGTTGGTGGTTTGAGCCCCTGCAGCCCCATGTCATGTGTGTCCCTGAGCAAGATACCTAACCCCTAATTGCTCCCTGGGCAAAAATCTCATGGGTTAAAAATGCAACATAAGTCACTTTGGATAAAAGCATCAGCTAAGTGACCTGTAATGTAAAACAGTACATTTTGATAAAGGTCTTATTTAGGTTTTCCCCCTAACATTCAGAGCACACATAGGTTATATGTAGCTTCTGGATGGAGCACAAGCGGAGCTCGCCTTAATGTAAGTTGAGGTGATGGCAGGAGGTGTGTGTGTGTGTGTGTGTGTGCGTGTGTGTGTCGTACCCCTGAACCAATTAGCTCCTTCAGTAGGGGTGGGTGCAACGGTAACAGCAGTGTTCCACAGGGTACCGCCCTCAGCCCTGTGGGGTCCCGGCCAATAGCAATTAGCGTGCAAACAAGAGCCCTAATTAGCCCCTTTGATTGGCTCGGTAACGGCGCGACAACAACCTCAGCAGCCAACACAGTGAGGCGACCAAGGTGATTCCACCAAGCCACTTTGCTTTAAAGCCAGCTGTACTGTAATTAGTAAACAAGCATGGCGCTCTGTAATTGGTAAACAAGTGGTCGGGTTTGTTTGCAGCGTCATTATGAACCTGCTGGTTTTTACTATTTCTGTAAAAAGGGCTCCTTGATTTTCTTGCTTTGTTTTCTCTCTGCTCTGCAGCGTTGTTAGATGCAGCATCCACTCTGACTGACGCTCCCATGCAACACATGCAAAGGAGACTGAGGGGGAGACGGACAACAGAAATGAATTAGTAAATGTCAAAGAAAGAAGCGTAGAGTGAGGATTATTATTTAATAACAGCAGCACCTGGTGGCTGCTGCCATTATAGACGTCAGTCACTGCCTGCACTGGATTTATGTTGCCCTTATTTTTGTCTCCTTCTCAGTTTAAATGTGAAGCTATCCCATGATGCAACATGCGTCTCCAGCACCTGCAGTGACAATGATGGCCACCCAGAGCGTTCCTCCACCATCGTACCCGGAGAGCCAACAGGTCAGAGGCTTCATTGGGATTTTACCTCATGATGGTGCCCCAGAGTGAATGTTAAAGGCCCCGAGAAGCTATATTTCTTAGCGTTAGGCAGCAACACAAATAGTGTTTTAGAACCATCTTTTGCAGTAGATTTGTGTGTGCTCTTCATACCGTTTTGAAGTGGCAGGGCTCACGTGAAATCAGGTGATTTCATTTATTCTTGAAGTCCGACTTTAGTCAGTCTGAATGCTTCTCTAATGACATAATTAATTTACATCCTCACAATTTAAATTTAAATAACTTTCTGAGACCCACATGCTTTATGTGTAATAATGCTAATAAATTATATATTCCTTTATTGGCCACAGAGTCATTGCCTACAAATGTAATAAGTAATCTAACATAGTGATAACAATTCTTTTTCTCAGCTCTAACCAATCATGAAACTCTACTACAGATAAGATCCCAAATGGAAGTCTCTACAGGACTATTCAAATTATCTTTCATCAGGGTTGAGTTGCATTTCATAATTAAGACAAGAGCCATACATACTGTATGTCAAAGTGCAAGGATAAGAGGTCAAGCCCAGCCTGCGATGTATCACACATAGAGTTATGCCACCAACCGGTCAGTGTAATTACTGCAGCCATAATTGTGTTTGTGAGTAACACTACAGACCCTCCCATTGTGGAAAGGTGGAGCGGGTTCGCCCCGACCGCCTAACCCTCCTCTTCGTCCACACCATCTCTGTCAGCTTTCGCCAAGAGGATTAGTGCCGTGAGAGAGCTCCGGTACTGCAGCCTCTGCACTCTGCAAATGCAAATGAGAGCTAGTTAAGTGTGAAGAAGCTAATTTATTTCCCATTTGGTGCTGGGATTAAGACTAGAAGCTTCCTCCCACCCTACCCTGACTTAAAAAAAAAAAAACGATGTGGGGGTTGTTAGTCATCTCCTCAGAGAGAACCACGGAGAGACGAAAGTGGGGTGGAGAGAGATGAAAAAGACAACATATTGTGTTCATAAAGCATGTAGCTCCACTGGCCACCCAAGAAACAATACTCTACAGTGATTCCTCCTTAAACCACCAGTGGTACTGTTGCTCTCCAGAGCAAAAAGAATAGCATGTTTATTTCAGCAGTAGGGCCGGTTGCGAACATATTGCTGATGGAATATTTATTGTCTTCCAGGAATCTATGGAAAACCTGAGCATGTTATATTACGGCTCTATCCTATCCCTCTCACTTTACTTCATGGCTTCAATGAAAGGCTCCTTATCTGTCAGGCAGCAATCATTTCAGTTACATCTTCATTCCTAGCGTGTCGGGATCAGATGCATGTTGCACCTTATTGCTTTTGAAAAGTGATTACTTAGACGAACAGCAGCTCCATCATCAAGTAGAAGACGTTTATGTTAAGATTGGTTTGGCCTGATTGACCAGAGGAGCAGGTTCAGCCTTTTATTAGAAGCTGGGAACAGAGCTGTAGTCATAAAATTAAAAATGGTTAAACAATGATTTTTTTTTTTGATAGACCTCAATGCATTGTGACGCGATGCTACTATACACCTTTCATAACTTTAAATAACGTATAGATTAGGCATATAAGGCATGTTGCGAAGGGCAAAAGGGAGGAAGTGACCCCCCCCTTTAAATACTACACAGACAGCGCATTTCATAAAGTCTATGATATGAGGACAATGCATCATCAACACCTGGTTATGGAGGCAACTTTTTACACCCAAGATTGTGTTTTTTAAGAAGTTATGCTTTATGGAAACTTCATTGCTGAAAGAATTGACGTTTTATTAGTCCTATTCAGATGGAACGGGAAGGCTGACCGCATCCTCGTAATTAAAACCACGTTATAAAAAGCATGTGTCCCTGTCTTAATGCAATGTTGTGTGAAACAAAACAAGGTTTAAAAACGTGAAATGATCTTCTTCAGTCTTATTTGGTACTTGAGGCCTTTCCCTGGGATCTGTGGGAGTAGGTCTCTTCAGAAAAAGCCAGATATACCATAATACAACGCAGATTCAGACTACAGCGTTTATATGTTCAACAATATGAAACTTGTTTTAAAATGACACCAAATTGAACGGTGCTTATGTGGGTTTACCCTCTATTACAGCCCTTGCTGGGAACTAAAGTACCAATTGAATTTCAGTCCTAGACAGATACACAGCTCAACAGAGGAAACTTAAATCCACTTAGAGCATTTCATTAAATGGAAACTGAATGAAACATTTTTCAGAAGCGGAGACCGACTGTCAGTTGTGTCCCAAGTCTTAGTTATTGTCCACTGCCTGCGTTAATCTATTTAAAACTTTAGTTGAAAAAGTTCTGCAACTGTTGCAAATTCATATTGCTGCGGGTATTCCTTGGAAAAAATGGGCTTTGCATGTTCATGTTGTTTATGTGTCACATACCTGAACAATTACAAAATAAAGATGCAATAATATTTTTATTGTTGTATTTTTTTTGTGTCTCTAGATGACGGGCACCACTCAGCAAAACACCAAGACCCCACAAGTCCATATCCCAGCAGCCTCTGCAGCAGGAAATACCTCTGTCAGCGTGACCCTTGACCCCCAAGCCCAGCTTGAGTCTGACAAGAGGGCTGTTTACAGGTTGGTTCTCTCACGAGAGGTTCATAGCCATAATACTTCTGGTTTGGGCGAATGATGCACTCGTACTGGTGTTCACGTTGCCTTTAGGTACATAGATGTGATACCCTTGAATTCCCCTTTTCTTCTATTTGAAATCATTTTTGCATTTTTCTCTTTTTAAAACTGTACTTGAAGGCAAGCAATATACCTTTCATTCAATTTAATCAATTGAGTCTAAAATAAGTCTTTCATATGCTGGCTGTAGTCAGGCTATATGAGTCCTGCATAGCGCAGACCGGAAGAGGATCTAGCCCAGGGGTCTCAAACTCCGGTGCAGCCCGCCGCCGATGGGGGGTGGGGAGGGGTACATCCGACTTTGGCGTACAGTCAGCGGAACCCCCCGGTCGGACCGTCCACGCCGCTCCCCTCCATCAACCGTCATCGCCGCCATTCCCCCACCCCCCTTTGACCGTAATGGTCTGGCCCGCGTTCGGTCGAAGTAGGCTGCATCTGTCCCGCATCTGAAATGAGTTTGAGACCCCTGATCTAGCCTCTTGTGACTCTGATTTTTAGGGTATGACAACGGATGAATAGATAGATGAATGAATGGTTTCCGATGCTTTTCAGTGATTGTATTGGGAAACACGATGTCCTTCCCAACTCATCAAATACAAATGCTTGGTCAGTCGGCTGAAGTATGGCTTTGAGCTAAGACGCTCTACGTACCCCTCTAGAGTCCACAGTCCCTATTTGGGTGTGTATACTTTCTTGTTTCTTGCATACTGTCTTTTAAAAGTTATCTTTTGTCTTCGCAAGAAACTGCTTGATTAGGTTAAGCAATGGTAGTAGTTTGGGTTATAAAAATGTTTTTTATGTTTATCTAATCAAGGTTACTTACTTAAGTTTATTTACAATAAATCTGACCTTGGGTTTTGCACTGGACATGAACACCGGTCTCAGGTTTTTTTTTTTTTATCCGTATTACGTCTTCCCAGTCTGGCTCAATATCTCTTGATGCTACATCACCAGTCTTCCTATGACCACAAGGGTAGAAACACTGGCTTAGCCCTTGTGTTTGACACTAGTGTAAGAACAGTCACTATATTGGCTTCTAAAGATCCAAGAGCTGTAGAAGAAGAAACACCTATATTCCTAGAAAGTTTCACGCAAACTACGGATCAGACTTCTTGGTCATGTCCAAATATAGAGATGAACCATATTGTACTTTTGTGAAAAATCATGTGACAAACAAGTGTCAAATGGAATACATTTTAAGCATCTTTGTGTAATTGAGGCAAGGGGATATTTTGGGAAAATATTCTTTTTCCATTCTCAAAGATATGGATGCACTTTCTCTAAAGGGACAGTGTGTAAAGTTGAGTGGGAGGCAGTGGGGTGGTTTTAGATTTCACCTGACTAAATAACCCTGCATTCGCACAGCCCCGTTCAAGACTGTAACGGGAGATGCAGCGGGCAAACCCGTCGTACCGGTATTTGCCTCTCTCAGAGGCATTTATCACCATAATAACACTACTATTGGAGCAAAGGAAGTCAGCTAGGCTAGCGGGAACACAGTTTTTCACTCTGCAACTCATGTTACTGCAGTTTCACAAGTGTGTAGGATAATGCTACTCAATGCTTCAGTAAACTTTTTTTAATTGATTTGCGCTACGCTATGAGTTAAAGTATTGTGAAATATTGTCTGACTTTTCACTCCGAGGTGTAGATAAGCTTTTTTATTTTTTTTCACCCTTATTTTAGGTTAACTATTTAGGCCTGAAACCTGTGTTCAAAAACGGTATTCTTTTATTTACGGTGTGGAAGCCCTGGAAGGCACCTCCTTGTTAAGCAGGAAAAGTATAAAAAAAGACTCTCAGCTTATTGCTAGAATATTAATGCACCCACATAATGAACTTGTATTATGTATTTATGAAGTAAATTATTCAAAATACAATCAGGCCAGTGTCGTTTACAACCCAGCAACTCTTTGGTTTTGTTGAGGGGAGCGAGACGCGAAGCCCGGCCTGTGATGATGACACTGCTCATGGCGTCAGGTTCGCCTGCCCCGGCTCCTCGGGTCCCACCGCCGGGTATTCACGGCTGCTTGGCGGAAGCGTGAGGCCCCCGTGCTCAGGCCTGAGGAGGTCCTCCAAGGCTCCTCTGAGATACGAGGCTGCCTTTGATGTGAGCAGCCATGTTTGGAGCAGCTCCGGGTGGTGCTGGTGCTGGTGTGTGGTGAGGGGGGGTCTCAATCCAAATCAGCCCCTCTTCCCTTTCACATCTGCTTTCTAGATTTTAGACACTTTGCTCCTGTTCCTTCCTTAAGCCTCACACTTACACACAAAAAGAAAGCAAGAACAGAGGTTCACACCAGCAGCTAGAAAAAACAGCTTCAGTATAGACCTTATTATTCATGTTAATTTAAATACGTTCTCTCTTGTTGTCTTCGAGAGGGAATATATTAACATTAATAATGCTCATATGCTTTATTAGCATCTTGATTGGCCTCTATAAGAGCTGGGGTCTGTGTATCCTTTTTTTGGGTGTGTTAATTCATGTAAAACAGGTTGGAACATGCACAAGTGGAACTGTGTGTATGGATTGTGGGGCATGTGTAGTAAAAGATTAAAAATCTGAACAGCCAATACCAGTAATGGTTAACATGTGTTCTATTTTCCATACAATAATTACATGTTAACTAGCCACCTTTAGAAGTATTGCGTGGTTATGCAAAAAGCCAAATTCAGCTCAATTTAGACTTTAGACATGAATTTCAAAAAGAAATCTGCTATCGGTAAACACATTCTTACGTAGGCTCTGCCAGTAAACATGACATCAATGCACAACAATAATCAATACACCCATGTGAGGTGAGGAATGCAAACCACGGCTACACTAATTTATTTCAGGCCACACAATCGCCTGTTTCCTCTCGTATCTTCTGTTCCCTCTAGTTAGATCAGACATTATAGACAGTACCAGTTAAACGTTTGGACACAAGTTCTCATTGAATTGAATGACTGGTTCTGTATGGCTTCAGATTACTCATCGAAACAGCCTACGTGCAACAACAATTTGTGCCGGTTTTGCAAATACAACACATACAGTAAAGTTCCTCTTGCTCTCTCTGGCTTTTGTGAAGAAGTTGTGTAGTGTGAACTAGAGATACAGGTTATAACATGACATTTAATTAACTATAAGTGAAGCTTACCTTTCTCTAACTTTGATAGCCATAATACCTTTACACATTATCAGTGTGGAAAGGCTTTTCATTACATTCCATTTGTCAGTTCCAAGCGAGCTGAGCTAATTCTAGCGGGCGGAGTTAAAACACTGCAGACCTCTGATGGGTCAGAGGGAATCGTCATTAGCACGACAGGGGACATCCTGCACCAACCCCCCGTCTATAAATAGCCTTGCCACCGACAATATCAACCACAATTTCTCTTAATCACTTGACCCAGATTTTGTAAACATATTGCAGCACTGTTGAATATGACGTCAATGCAGTTTCACACCACGCTATAGTGATATCATTTGAGAATTGCGTCTAAACTAAAAGGCCACTTTCCGCAGAAAAGTCAACATTCATTATTTTAACTTTTGTTGGTGATTTATGTAACACCACCTACGTAATTTGTGTAAAAAGCACACCAAAAAGCACACCTATTCCAGCCTGAAGCGCCATCTTCAGGTTAAAAAAGGGTCAATATTACTTCCTTTTACAAGCAAATATAGCAGTTTATTATCAGTGTCCTTATCCCACACAATAGGATGAGAATAAAACGTTGCACGCCGGTTAATTGGCACTATGCAGAATGTGGAGCCTGCTGAGTCTGTGCATGTGTAGGATGGCTAATTAAAATCTTGTGATTAACATTGAGAGAGCACAGAGGATTCACCAGCATGTGCTGTTAAAAAAGGATTATTTGTAGCTCTTAGGTGAAAATTATATTTCTTCCGTACAGAGGAGACAGAGCACATCAGAACTTTTACAATAATTTTTTTGACAATGCAAGGAGTTAATGACTAAACACACTTTGTTACCAATTGTTATTATTGCAATTAAATTTGACTTCATACTGTCACCTTCTGCAACAGTCAGTGAAATTATGCAAAAAAGACACCAAACAATAACAAATTGCCCATTTAAATAATATATGTAAGTCTGATCCGCAGAGTTCCTGCCTCTAAACACTGCTTATGAGCCATTTTTCTGTAATTATTTCGCTCAGATAAGTCTGTGTGGGCTTTAATGTTTCTCTTCCCTAATTGTTAGAATGTCAACTTCATGAGGAGATGTGTGGTCTCCTCTCTCAGCTTACTTCGTTATTAGCAGCGGAGTAAATGTGTGATGGGGTAATTAGCCTAATGAGTTGTGGCATTTACAATAAAGATCCTTCTGGATTCTATGCATCTTATTAAAACTGGTGAGGCCTTTGTTTTTGGAGGTTGCGTACGTAGCGTTCTCAGCTGATTCGCCTCAGAGATGGAAATGTGCACCTAATTGAAAGAGACATCACAATAGTCCTTTTCTTCCAAACAGAAATCTCCTTGTAATGATTGAAAACAACTTAGCCTGAAAAGCTGTTTACCCGAATGAGCTGTTTTAAGGTCACACTTTGACTTCTGCCGTTTGTTGAGAGTTAACCGCTCTTTTGCCTAATACGTAGACAGGGATCTCAAGTTTACAAGAAAACTTGGCATGACATTTTGTCGGGGGGCGGACGCTACGGTCAACCGGGGTGCACAGACGCTACGGGGGGCTTTGTGCCGGTCGACTGGGTGGGTGGGGGGGGGTAACCAACACCGCTCGGACCGGCGTCTGATTTCTTGGCGTGAGGTGGCGGGAGGGTGTGACTTGAGACCGAAATGCGAGACTGTCACGGTCAATGCGTGACACAAGACAAGACACACAAGACAAGAGAGGAACAGAAAGTTGTTTGAGAGCAATCTTTTCTGCCCAGAGCACAGGAGTCAAACTCAAGGGGGCTCCAGGACAACCCACCGGATGACTTTGCTATTTTGAGAATTACTGAAAGACGTTCACCAACGCAGTGCCGGTAGATCCCCTACCATTGGAAAAACAAAATCACGTCAGGTCACCACGCATGCGCGATCGCTTCTGAAGACGACAGGTTCGTGGTGTTTCTTTTATACTCATTCGTTTTCCGCTGCTGTTGTGCAGCGCTGTTGTTCAGTTTGGTTACCGTTACTTCTCGGAATTATTATTATTCGGACGAACTGCAAGAGCGGGAGGAGGGTAGATCGCCATGAGTTGGATTGAAAAGTTGAGTGAAAATTCGCTCGCAAGACGAAAAAGTTTGGGCACCCCTGCGTTAGACCTTCTTGACTACGGCGTTACTCCAGACAGCAGCGCCTGCATGAAAATGACTGTCCCCCCCGTCGACTGTCCAAGCGGCACCCACGCCACCCGTCGGCCACTTGAGATCAACGTGGGCAGTATCTGGCACAAACCTAAAATTACTTTGACACACCAGTCCTAAAGGGTGCCAAACAGAGCCAAAACTGAACGAAAACCAACTTCCCACAGGAATATTGTGTACTCATCACAAACAAATATATGAATGTTTCACACCTTTTGAAACATTAGTCTTGGATAACTTCTCTGCTTGAAAATACTCAAACACAACTCCAAGTCATTAAATACGTTATGTAAATTAGTCCAGAACATTTTCACATGGGGACTCTTATGTATATTATTCTCGGCGAAGCTAACAAAGGAACACTGACCCAGATAGCAATGAGTCGGCGGGCCGCTGGCGGTTCGCCAGAGATCGTAGCAGCGGCAGAATGGCGTAGACTAATCGCAAACACATTTGGCGGCGGTCCGCCGGCGGCAGCCGCTTTTGCTGCCGCCGGTGGACCGCCTTCCTTTCGCGGACGGACACCAGGTCAACCGCCGTTCCACCGCAGTTATAACAAAGGCAGCTTTACCGCCGGAGGCAAACGCTATTTTGGAGCGATATGTAATATATATATATATATATATATAAAATAAATATATATTTTATTTATTTATATATTTATATAAATAAAATGTTTATCTAGAGTAATGATTGATCAAACCAGACAAATTTCCATTTGACGTTTTAATTCCACATTTCAGTACAGTATTGAAACAAGATGTGTCAGCACACTGAAATATAAATCAAAAAGAAAACAAAAAAGACACACGCACGCACACGCACTGGGGTGTCAGTAGTCTAGACAAGCCTAGGTTTAAGGAGTCGGCTGTGGGTCCCTCTCTGTTGTGCGGTGCCTTTTTCCTTTTTCCTTTTTCCTCGCGGTCAGATGCTCCTTTCAGGTAACGCATTACATTAACCTGGACCGCCTCATCAGTGGCATCCTGGGTTGCCGGATTCTTCCGTATGGCCCCTGTAGAAAATACAGATCTGTCATTCCATTTGAATACACATCGCATACACATCTACTTAAGAGAATATCTAACTTACTTTGAACAACGGTCTTCAGGAACAGGTCTTTAAAACAAGCTTTAGCCCCTACACCAGTCCAAGTTGTAGAAATTGAAAGGCGATTTGAGAAGATACTCTGAAGAATTCTCCACACGGTTATCTTTAGGTCCTTCCCACATTTGATGGCCAATAACAGGAGCTGAAAATCCCCAAAAGTGCTTCAAATTATATTTCGCTGAAGCTTCTCATACATAAATATCAAATGTGACAGGCTGTGAATTCAGACTGTCGAATATGCAGTGTACAATCTTAATTTGACTTTTGATTAACCTACAGCATTAGAAACAATAGCAGCACACTTACAAATCGTTCCTGGAGCTCGCTATCCTGCCTCAAGCTGCTGTCAAGCAACGCCAAATCTTCCTGCGTGTTTATGGGGAGTAAAAGACCACCGGGCAGGGATAACTCTCCAACAGACACATTGGCACTGAAATGTTGCAGCAATGTGTCCATTTTGTTTTCCATGCTACGCACAACATCGCCAAACTCTCCAAGACGTCGCAGCATTAGGGTCTGATCTGCACCTAAAGGGATTCCCAAAATAAAAGAACATAGTCAGTCCTGGTCCCTCAACTACTAAACTATGATATTAACATCTTGGTATACAACATGTATAGGTGTCCCCAGGGGAAATTAATCAAACAAACACAGGTGTTTGCAAGTCGTATCTGATTGCCCAGTGCGAGCAAACGTCTTGATCATTGTCCCAACTTGCTTCACCTGCTCATGAAGTGAGCCGAAGCTGCTCGTGCATTGCTTCCCCTCCAGGCTTGGTTCTCCTCCCTCTGGGCTTGGATAAATTGACAACAAGTTATTGCATATATTTACTGAATTGGACAACACACCTAGACACCTTTCATCCAGGGCAGTCAAGTGTCCTAATGCAGATAAACAGATAATGCATAAGAGGATTCCTAATCTTAAATAGAAGCAATAGTTTTAGACAAACAACGTCACTTACTTGTATTCAAACTCTTGGCTCTGGAGTGTGGAGACTGGACCACTGGTGAGAAACCTTGTTCTGGAAAAATAGGACACAGAAATGTGAAAATCTAACAAATGGTATAGTTTAGTGGCAGGATCACAAATTAAGCATCAAACCCAACTAAAAATACACCACCTGAGAGTTCTGTTGTTTTAACACAAGTCACGGTTTTCAGAAGGGTTCTTGGGTCTTTAGGAAGGGTTGGATGACCCTTAGACAAAATGGTTAAAAGCTTACCAAGTGCCACATGGGGGATCATCATGTCAATAGCCCACCCTGCCAATTTTGTCCTTAGGCAATCCTCTTCCTCTTCATCATCTTCTGTGCTTGAGGAAAACATCTCACCAGCTTCACATGCCTCATCAACAATTATTTCCTGTGCTACAGGGGTTACAGTTTGTACATGGCTTGTTGTAACCATTCCATGTAGATGTTCATTAACATGGGGATTTACTTGGTCAAAGTCAGGAAAAAGAGCAAGTAGAGCATTGTTTGCAGCCGCAATTTCCTTTTTATCCCTCTCGAATCCTTTCAATATTCTTCTCCTTTTGGCCCAGTAACTAGACATTGTGACTAACAATGCATTTACCGTTAAATCCAAAAAGACTTTTAAAATGTCTTAAAAATTTCTTGCTAATTAATACTTAATTAATTAATACTGCAAAAATAAATAAAACATTGAGGTTTAAAAAAATAAAGACAACGCAATTTCCTGGAATGACATGAAGGAGAGCTTGAGTCCTTCACGTCAAAAAGATTTTGAGAGTATTTCAAAGCGGCTTGCCGCTAGCCGGTCGCGGTCCTTTAGACAGAGGCAACCGCCAGAGAAAATGAAGCAGGCGGACCGCCGGCAAACCGCCGGCATCTCGCTAGGAATGTGAGTGACGTAACCGGCGGCAAACATTGTCTCCCCGCCACCTATAGCCGACAGCTTAGCACCGGCGGCAAATAGAAGCCGTGCCGATGTTTTTTGCTATCTGGGGAATCGCTAGCTGAGATGACGCTGAAGACACTGATATCCCGATTATTCTCTCAGACAAAACCTGCCGAAACCAGAGCAAAAATAACCAAAGCATCCAAGCATATGACCCATAAATGCCCTTTACCTCTGACGTTTGAACAAAATTATGAAATTACTAAATACGTGAAGTCGCTATTGTATGTGCATCACGAGCAATTTCAGTCCCTTCCGCGCAGGTTTTAGGGTTTTCTTCAGCCAATCCTCACTCTGTCAGAGTTCGGGAAGGAAAACCAAAAGAAGACCGGTGACAATGGCGGTTTATTCAATAATAAAGTGAGGAGGCCAGCTGGTCGGGAACGGAGCGTCGTGGCAACTCTGCGGGCAGAAAAAAGCGGAGTCAGAATCATGTAAACTGCAGACAGTCAGACGCACAAAAGTGACTTAACGATCCGGCGGTAACTGGGCGTCAGGTCCTCCTTTTTGTCCAGTCGTTAACTGTAATGAGGAGCAGGTGTGTAAGCCCCGGGGCACTAAAACTCCTCCCACCAGCAGGACTCATGAGGAGGCGTTCGTGACACTCTTATGCTAAGGAAGCTGTAGCTCTTTTCAACATGGGTTTAGTCGGATACAATAGGATCCGACGATCCAAAAAAGGGGTTTAAATGTGTGATTCGGCCAACCATAGACAGATTTTGGCAAAAATCCACACTTTCACTCTTGTTGGTTCTCTGCCGTGAGGCCTGCACAAAAGCATGTCTTGAGTAGATTCTCATCACTCTATCAATGTGAAATTTTCTATTCTTTCTGTCCACACACTGGGCTATCTCGTAGATGTGCCTGGTATCGCCGTGTTTTATAGGACTTTTACGGCTGTCAGTGATTTTATTTCAGGCGATTTTCCAAAGTGATCCCCCAAGAAGGTTTTATTGATTTTATTGATTTATTTCTTTACCAGTAACACACCTTTTTTTGACGGATCAATGCACTCACAGGGGTTCCCCTTTATCCTGACAGAAAAATTGTTCAGATAGACAATGTAGTACACTTGGTCAGGGATATGTCATTTGTTTAGGCAAAAAAAAAAGCCTTTGAGTGCACAAAAGTAATCCATTACAACTAAAAAGGTACATATAGCGAAAATAATTAACTATCATTTAAAAAATAATATTGCAATAGTAAGCTATATCAATATTTTTGCAAACCCCTACTGCACACTATTAGGGATGGAGAGCTATTATCTAGAATAACAGACACACGTCTATGTCAGTCTGTTCTTTTGTTGTAGGAACCTGTCCATTAAACACATTCAATTTCACTGTTGTTGATGATATGCCAAACGCTGTATGAGGGATTTAAGGAAAACAGCACTGAGATTTGATTTATTCTGTGTTTTGACAGTGATGAGATCCGGTTTCAAAGCTGCCCCATGATGCAGTGCGGAGCCCGGTATGGTGCATATTATCATTCACTCCCCTCCATAGTGGGTCGTTGCTGAAAGCCTCTCCCTGCTGGAAGGCCCGGGTGTTTTGCAATGAGACTGGATTTAGGGGTGTGTGTATGTGTGTGTTTGAGGGAAGGTTAACATGCCGTCATGCTGACAGTCGCATAACTCCAAGATGTTCAGGAATCTATCCAGCCTCGGGTGTGTTTTTGCTTGTATATGTGCTGGTCCTTAATGGCGTGAACATCCGAAGACCTCTCATGTCGTACATGAGAGGAGGGAGTGCATTTAATTTGCCATGTCCAAGCATGCCGTCGGCCACATTGTGTGTTAGTCTGCCTCTGTAATGCACCATAAAGTCTGTTTATCCTCGCCTCCGCTATGCATCAATGGACCCTCGCCCACCGCACAGTGGTTTCTTCGTAGAGGCTTGCCGTCTGACAGGCTTAAAACGGGGTGTGTCTCCTCCATTTAGCAGGTCAGCGTGTGCTGGTGCTCAGCCGCTCCTCAGTGCAAGAAACTGTGTTAGAGCTGAAACGGTTTTATTGGCAGTTTTTCTCAGATACCTGTTTTATTAGACTCCTCGCTGCTCGAGTTTGGGTGAGAAAGGAAGTCCTATTTTTACTTGGGAAAATTTACTAAGCTGCATTTTCTTCATTGGCACAATAGTCACCCACAGCAAACAGACTAAAACTCTATTTAGACTTTAAGTAATGCCACTTTTTGTTGCTAGATACAAAATCTTTAATTGGCTTTTCTAACATCCCTTACTGAATAACTACAATGTGTCTATATAGTCCAAATTCTCACCTTCAGTTTATGTTTAATTAATGCAATGTAGAACAAAATGTGATAAATTAAACATTTATGAACACAAAATAGTGTGGTACAGCAATGATACATTTTTGAGGGAAAATTATTCGGACTATGTCTGTTTTCTGTGCATGAAATTATGTTTCATTTGTGACGGGGAGAGAAGAAGCTGTTGAAAATGAATTGATTGCGCAAAAATGTTAAAACTATTTTAAAATAAAAGTAAGAAATTTTAAAATAATGTAAGCTTCTGGCAATTTGCAGGTTTGGAGCAGTCCCCTGGAGGGAAGCAGCCGGGGTGGGCGAGCCTGTAGGGGGGGGGGCACTTTCATTGGGCTATGTAGTTAGTTTTCATGACATGGGCAGCAGGCCCATATCTTTAGGAAGGTAAGTTGTTGCAGTGAAGGAGTCGTGTTGTATAGTAAATGCAAGTGATGCCGGAGACAACATCAAAAGATGCGTCATGTGACAGGTGTGTGTATGCAGTTCACTCCTTAATCATGTTCCTTCTGTATATATCCGCTGTGCTTGTGCATGGTGTTGGAAAAGAGGTTGTACAAAGACCAGAAACCTCAGAGAAACAGAACCTTGAGTGAGGTTCAGAATCACACCTCAAGGAGACAGGATTTATTCAGGTAATGCTGAATAACTCCCCCCCCCCCCCCACACACACACACACACACACAGGGTGTGCTTCAGATGCGTAGCCTGGGGAAACAGGGGCCTTGTAGGGAGCAAGCACAGCAGGTCTCCACAACTGGCTACTGATTGAGCTGGTGAACAGTGGGGAGCACAGAGAGTGAGAGACCTTCATCTCTCTCTCTCTCTCTCTCTCTCCCCAACACATATACATAAACACCTACCTTCAAACCCCACCCCCACCTCTTACTGTACCCCCTTGGTGGCCTGCCAGATTATTACTAAAGCAGTCAAACATGACATGTTTTCATTTGGGCTGGTTTTCATATACATAACATTTTTCATTGGCAGCAAAAAAACAGATAATCCTATAGACAAGTTTCCTGAGTGAAATAGGCGGGCCGCCATTGGCCTTTCACTCTGCCAACGACTTCCGGTTGTGTCTGCAAAGCACTTCCGGTTAGCGAGTTAGCGTCGTTTACGGTCTTTGGTTAGCGTGCAGAAAAAGTAAACTATGGATGTGTTACACCCCGACACGGCTCTGGGACATATTGTGCTGTTCACGGTTGCAACAACTCGTGGCGATTGCTGAATGTTTGGTCGGAAGGAGAATGTTTTGACCATAAAAACATTTCTCTGTTTTGCGGTAAAATGCTATAGATTTGCACTCAAATACGGAAGGCTTATCATTCGCGGAAGTCAACACAGTCTACTAATTATTACGCAGACGAATGTCAGCTTTTTCATAGAAAAAAAAGTAAGTTAATACCTTTATCCATTCCGAAGCTATTAATAGATATGTCAGGGGTGCGCACTTTGACGCTCGTCAGTCGACTTAAGGGTTAAAGCATGCTTTTAGTGCAGGCAGGCTAGAGGGGATTACTTTTTCTTTTTATTACTCTTCGTGTTCTGTTATATATTAACACACGGATACATACAAACATCTTAATACAAGCATAAGATGGGCTAACGTACCTTCCAAAGCGCGGCTGCTGCATGGCTACTTTGTTTCATTTGTACATTCACATAGTTGTCCCGAAGCCGCTCCTTTGTTATCTTGGCTGTGTGCTTCGGGTGGCCAACTCTGGGAAGAGTCCTGGTGGTTCCAAACTTCTTCCATTTCCGGAGGATGGAGGCCACTGTGCCCATTGGGATTTTCAATGCTGCAGAAATCTTTCTGTACCCTTCGCCAGATCTGTGCCTCGATACAATTCTGTCTCGGAGGTCTACCGATAATTCCTTGGACTTCATGGCTTGGTTTATGCTCTGATATGCACTGTCAATTGTAATCAAAGTTGTAGAAACATCTCAAGGATGATCAGTGGAAACAGGATGCACCTGAGCTAATTTTGGGTGTCGTGGCAAAGGCTGTGAATACTTACTGTATGTACATGTTATTTTTTTGTTCTTTATTTTTAACAGATTTGAAAAAAATAGCAAAAAACAGTTTTCACTTTGTCATTATGGGTTGTTGTGTGTAGAATGTTGAGGAAAATAATGAATTTAATCCATTTTGGAACAAGGCTGTAACATAACAAAATGTGGAAAAAGTCAAGCACTGTGAATACTTTCCGGATGCACTATATAGAAAGAAGGCTACATTTATGGGAAGCCCAGTCCAAATAATATCACTGTAAACTATATGAATAAATTGTGGTGAATAGTACTCCCCTGTCAATACGTTACTAAATCATCATAACCAATAAATAACTGGATCAACTAATTTCATACAGCTTATTTTGAAGTAGTAAAAAAGTAAAACAACCTACTGTAACAGTTGATTCTTGACCTTGTAAAAGTGTGGAAAAAGCTCACAAAAAGGTGTATTCAGCTTTCACTTAACGGCAGTATGTTTTAATATATCTCAACTATCTAATCAAACATGAAAGAGGTGCCTTCTTTCCTCTTTCCGCCTTTAACCCAACGGCCCATGAAGCACATGCCACCAGAGCCGCCACGTCCCTCACCTTCATGTTTAAGTCATCTCATTCCCCCGCTGGCCTGTGACTCTCTGTGACCCAGCACGCTGCTGTGCTGGAGGGGGGCGGACCGTGCTCACTCCACACACTGGCCATCCTGTAAATCGCTCTTTTACGGCTCTCATAATGGTCCCCCAGCCGGCAATCTCCACTCCGGCGCACTGCAGATAGAACCTGCCACTTCTCACAGCCGAAGTGGGGGAGTGTGTGTGTGGGGGGGTGGTGTGGGTAGTGGGAGACTGGGAAGCACACATAGGGTGACCATGCACTCACTCGCATACACCCACGTTCACGTTCATAAAAATGCATGCCTTTTCACACCCCATCTACCTTAATCGTGACTTCCTGTGTAAAGGTCATAGAAAGTGTTGAAAGTTTTCAACTTGCTGCAAGATGTCAAGGTCCAACTGTGCACAAATGTTGTGAAGGACAGACGCCGCCTCATCCAAACCCTGATTGCTTTGATAGCTTTAGCCTTTAGCCGCAGAGCACCAATGACATAATTCCCACCGAGCACAGACCTTAAAGTATGAAGCTTATCTTAAAAACCCTAACTGATCTTCAGCATATCATATTTTCTAGAAAGGAGGTAGCAGCATTCGAGTCCTTTTTCCATCTTACTTCATTTTAGTAAATATCTGAGTAACTGAATAAATAGTTTAAATAGTTTAACTGTTTAATTACAAGATTTATTTTAATCTTTGGTTCAATGACTCCACCTAGCATGTTTGTTGGCATCTCTAGGAATGTGTAAAGAAGAACTGGATTTCATAGAAAGCACAAAATACAGAAAGTACAAAATATTCAAAGCAAATGAGACCACATAAAGCCTTTTCAAAGCTGCTGTGTACATTAACATCTTTACAGATTTCAGTAGCATTTCAGCTCAAAAAAATCTTCTGAACAAATGCACTCTGTGGTTAATGTACTCTACTGATTCTGAATTTGGAATTAGACTCTATAGTGCTATAAAACAAGATATGATTCATTGTTTCTGTTTAGGAACGGAAGCAACAACTCAAACACGGCAGTAGAGTATAGACGAGGCCATCTATATTATTACCAGCCAGCAAAGGTGTTGTGTGCTCATCAGCTGTACCCACAGTGCCCCTGAGTCCTTAGTGTCACTCCTTCCTAAACTAAAACTACCCAAGCAGAGTGTCATTTTGTTCATTCACTGACACGTCTTAGTGATCCTGCTTTGTAGATATTAACAACAAATAAGAAGAAAACTAAAAATGGTCTCACCACCTAGAAAGAATGTAACACTTTCTGTGATAACATAGAAGTAACATAGGGACGGAAGGTAAGAATAAATAAGTAGCCAAGACACAGTCTTCGGTGCTGAGAGTAACCCTGTTTGCTCTCAGTCAGACCCCTCCCCATCTCCTTCCCCACCTGGATTATTCTCCTACAGCAGACCTTAAACAGATGAGGCAGAGGCTCTCCACTCAGCACGTGACCATCATGTTTAGTATTCCTGCCACGTCTGGTTGAGGGAGCGGCATTAAATTGGGATCAGGCAGATTAGAGTATAATATAGACGACTATTAAAGGCTGCAAATGAGAGCCATGGGTTACAGTCTGCCTTCGTATCAGTACAGCTTGTTGCAACACATGTCTACAGCAGTCTGATGTATATAAATCAAAATTATGATGTTCATTAAGCAAACCTATAAGTCACTTATATGCAGAAAAATACAATCCCCATACATGTATTGTGTTACATTGGGTTTATTTAACCTTCATGGATTGGTCTAGGTTAATTGCTCATTCTAGTGCTTCCCGCACACATATGTTTTCCACCAAAATGAGTACTAGTATGTGAATAAGATACATATATATTTTTTAAACAATGGAAAACCTGCTAAATATAGATATGAAATAATGGTGTTTTTTTCATTTCTATTTTTAATATATATGATCTACCTTCTATACATCTTCTATTCCCTCTTTAAACTCAATGTTGTTGGTTAGATGGAGACGGACAGAAGTAAGATCAAAATGCGCAATTAAATAATTGTTAGTTAATGAATTCATGCATTTACGTGTTAAACTTACCAGACCTAATATAAATGCGCACACAGACACATGGGGGGATGAGGGTTGATTGGATCCCTCCAATAAACACAAATAGCCTGATACAAGTGGATGACCACTTCCTATCCAGTGGAAAAAGGGACCTAAAGCTGCATAGACCTTGGTCTCTGGTATTTTCATTCTTGTTTTCAAGCTTCCGGTTTGGGGTCACACTCACCTAAATCCCAAATCAGACACCCTGACTGATGGACAGTAATGCAGAACTGTTCTGAGCCTTGTGTTTATTTATCTATTGGGATGTTAAAGAAAGTACACAATATTAAAACAGCTTGTCAATGGATATAGGTAATTTGATCACTTCCTCGACAAAGGACGTTCTGTCGATTCACAATGTAACCAGGTACATTTATAATTAAAAATTGTGTGACAGATTCTCTGTCATTAAAACTCTTTACATCAATAAAGCCAAGAGGGAGCAAGTAGACAGGAGTGTGTGTCTTTATATCTTTTTATTAAATTAACAGTCATCTCCTTGGTTTTACTGACATGCGCAGTAGGTTATTCTCAGAGCTCCACATGGAAAGTTGTTGGTTTTGTCTCTACTTGAAGTCTCATCGTTTGTATTCCGGCCGATGAAAGTAGGGTCATTTGCAAATGGAGATCTTTTTATATTAGGGGTGTACAGTGTGAACAGGATGATTGGCTGCCATTCCAGACCGTGAGTTACTCACGGACCAAACTGATAAATGTACCAATCAGGAGATGGTGTTGAAGGGTCAGCTGAAATCAGTAAACATCATGTAGTGGAAATCAATGCAGACCTGGCATCCACTCTAGTCCTCCACAGTATGGAAACTCGTTTGTGATGGGATGTTTTATTTGAAATGCTGGAGAGTCAGAGAACATACACGGGTTATATGATACTGCAAAGCCGGAATTATCATAATTAATTTGCCTGGTTGTTGTGGGGTCCTTTATGTCAAAGGTAAGACAGCATGTAAGAAGATTGGAGACTGAAAGCCAAAAAAGAGGGATGGAATAAGACGATGGAGAGAACACAGATCACTTGTATAAAATAGTCATATTTTCACTCTGTCTCTTGTCTAAGCTTGTATTCGGTCACCATTTCCTCCAAGTGGAAATACTAGATCATTTGGGTTGTACTACATAGCAGCACAGTATGGAGCACTGCAAAACGTATCTGGGTGATCTTATGTGAGTGACATTCCCCATAAAAAGGCAGATTGTAACAATGTAGATGACACTGCGATGACAATGTAGCCTCACTCTGTCACTGGATCATATCCTATCCACTTGAATGTCGTGGAGCTGCCCCCTGTTAACATCAAGGGAAGGAGCAGGGTTTTGGATGGGAGGGAAGCACTTCTTGAATTAATTTCTCTTGGACTTTTGGGAAATTCCAGACATAGGCTTACATGCGACAAATGCAAATCTTATCAACACCAATCAACACATGCTAACCTCCTTCACTTTTGCATTAAAGTATAAGAAAGGCTCAAACTCTGCATGCAGAGTCTGGAGTGTCAGCGTACAGAGGAAAGGAAAATGGAGATGCAGCTGTAGAATCAGTTGGAAGTGAGTGAGCAGACACAGATTTCCTTCTGATTTAATGTCTTTTGTGACAAACTGATCATCAGACCTGATGGACAGAGTGCGCCTCCGGCAGAGCTACTGAAAACATAAAATCATGCATTCTATTATATTAGCCTTTCAATCATGAGCCCTGCCTTCAAAATTGTAGATTTTATTATTTTCCACCAAATTGAGCAATTTTCTTGTATTTGTCCTTTGGGGCAAATTCATGCATTTTTTTCTGATTTCCTAATAAAAAATCAATGCTGCTGCGAATCATTGACTCATCATTTTTTTGGTGTACAGAATGAAATCAAATTTGTTTGTTTTTTCGGTTTTTGTTAAATTACTAACTCTAAAAGGTGGAGGACATTAGATAAAAAAAATGTTATGCCCATTTGTTTGGGGATGCTCTGACATCAGGAAAACTCATTTAATGTGAGGACTGAATGTTTATTTTGTCAAGTATTAAGATCAAATGACACAGAGATCAACATGCTGTCTTTCGCCGTCTCTGAATATCTACTTTGTGTGTGTGTGTATGTGTGTGTGTTCGTTGGTTTGAGTTATGACCAAATTACTGCTCAGGATCCTTTAAAGCAATTAAGTGATATTTTGATATAATTAGGATGGGATGGAAATTATATGAAATGGCCGAACAAAGACATGTTTTACATTACTTCAAGTAATCCAAAAGAGTATCCATTATCACATTTTTCTTTGAGTTTCAGTTATTGGCACCATACCTGCCTTTGGTTGCGAGCTCACAGCACTTCTCTGGGTCTTTAACAAGATATTATTGTAAATGCAGGACACTTGAGATAAGAGATAAGTGGCTGCACCTTTTTCATTCATTGCAACACACACGAAATGCCCAAACTACTAAAATACATGAACTAATTTCTGACTGGAACGTGAAATTAAGCTTTTCACAGCTATAGTCAACCCAGTCTCACAGCAAAACGTGTAATAGCTACAACGCAGCTATTACATGTTTTGCTGTGAGACCTGGTTGCTATAGTAATAGCTTGATGATGACCAACATTTTCTGAATTTAAGTCATGCTGTGCCCCTCCCTGCCTCTGTCCCCAGACATCCACTGTTCCCCCTGCTGGCGTTGTTGTTTGAGAAATGTGAGCAGGCCACACAGGGATCTGAATGCATCACGTCAGCCAGCTTTGATGTGGACATAGAGAACTTTGTGCATCAGCAGGAGAGAGAACACAAGCCCTTCTTCAGTGAAGATCCAGAGCTGGACAACTTGGTAAGCCAACTACCATCACAGCAGTAATCAGTACCACATGAAAGCGGCCTCTGCCGCTTTTATATCAGGAACATGGTCTATTGTTTTGCTTAGTTAGTTAGCTTTAGCGAACATAATACTAATGAAGCTGTAGAACTGCCTATTTGTCTGTTTCCAGTGTATCCCATCATTACTACTCATCTCCTTTTTCATGTAATGTTCCCCATCCTCCTCCTGTACTTCCTCTTTCACAACAACTAGCAATAATTACTAATTAAGAGAAGGAGGTTGCTGATCATGTTCTCTGAGAAGACAGGGGGAGGAATTGGAGCCAGACAGAGCAGCCTGATCTCCAAAACCTGTTTGTAAAAATGTATACGAAAATCTTGAACACACAAATTTGTAGTGATACATACTAAATAACTACGGACTGCAACTGATGACGTCACCCTATTCAAAGTGAATGGGGGCCTGCATCCCGTAAACACACTTTGTGAAGTCTAACGATGTAAAATAAACATGTTATGATGATTTTCGAGAAATCAATGTTAACTTGTAAGAATAGAATACTAACCCTAACCCCCTCAAAAAATCCATCATGGCGGAGAGACGTTCACTCAAGAATCCGACATGGTCCGCCATGTTGTTCACTCAAGGGGCGTGGTTAACCCCCGCCAGTTCGTATGTATTGTTACGAATTTGTATGTTTGTTTTTTTTGTAAGATTTTTGTATACATTTTTACGAACAGGTTTTGGAGATCACGTTGGACAGAGACAAAGAGAGACCTGAGAAGGAAAAAACAGAAGTACACCCTGCCATCGCAGTACTCGGGTGTACAGACCGACAAGTGCTGAACAGTCAATTAACCCTGCATCTGTGTGTTTTATGAGGCAGTGGGTATGGGCATCCCTCCCAGAGGGCACTAACTCTTCCACAGGACAGGAACGTTACACTGTGCCTGACTGGCTGCGATTGGCAAAGGGTTACTGGTCCCTTGATTAAGTGAGCGCAGCTTAATTAGCTGATTTATCTCCTCCTTGGCCAAGCACTTTTCTGTACATAGGGTTAACCTTGACTGGTGACTTTGAGAGAGCTTCAGTTTGCTGCACAATGTAGAGAAAAGTCACCCAAATAATGGTCAGTAAACCAAAGAAAATGTTGAATTATTATCACTGTTATAAAAAAAACACTTCAAATAATCAATAAATCATATCAGGGTATTTTGTAAGATTCTGGTGGTATCACAGTATTTTTTTTTCAAAAGCTCTCTGACAATATGTATTGTGACATACCAAAAAACTGAGTAATATGTATAACTGCAAATATAAATAATGTTCTCATTAACTATGGAAACCTACCCGTGGCGCTCCCTTACCCTCCCACTTCCAAATAAGCATCAGGGTGAGCAATGCCAAAAACAATAAACAAAACAATCTTACTTATACCCCCCCACAAAAGAAAGATCTTACCTAACTCTCTAACCGTAAAACAGGATAAAAGTAGGTGAACAAGAAGGGATTCTCACCCCTACCGTTACCCAGACTATTCATATATTATACAACATAACATTTCCACAGAAACAACACGACCAGGTTGAGAGCGGGAGAGAACAGAGCCACCGCTGACACTGCCGGCCACTATCGGCCTCCACAGGCTTCTTCCTAAGCCCCTGCTGTCCAATCACCTGCAACACAATAACAGAGGAGAAACAGGGACACCAAATAACAGCCCAGCCCCATCGCTCAGGCAGGGAGGTGAACCACATTCCTGCTCCTTATTGAGACGAAGAGCAAGAACGAGCATTATATTCAAAAATTTAAATTCCTCTTTTCGGTTTCACATTTTGACTCGATTCAGACAATTATAAATTATATATTAAAAACACATTTTGACAATTGAACAGTTTTGTATAATGTATATATTCCACTGCCCCGCTTTTTTGCTCAGTGGGAGAATTGAGCTCTATTGTCCTGCCAGGATTTTTAACCTGTGCGTGAATGTTATCACGGCCATACTCTTCCTCACGTGGAGGTCCACATCGGCAGAAACGAGTCAGTCCATTCTGGATTAAATGCTCTACTTTCGCTGTCCACTTTTCTCTTTTTGAAGAGCGCCACTTGTTCCTTATTTTTCTCACCCTCAGTCTTTTTCTTAAACTTTGCTGTCATTATTTTTCTTCCTTCCATCTTTACACTTGGTATTTGCCGCTATCTCTCTAACTTTGCACTGAGAAGATATCATCCTCCTTGGAATGCACAGACTCAATTGGTTCAGTGGTATCACGGATCAGGATAAAGGAGAACCCCTGTGAGTGTCCTGCTGTGTAAAAATAAATATAACACAAAAAAACTTTAGAATTTTAAGATTCACCCGAAATAAAATCACAGCCCTATAACAGGCTAAAAACACATCTAAGTGATAGTCCAGTGTGTGGACAATACACATGAAAGGTTTCATGTTGTCAGGATTACTACTCTACAACAGGCTTTGCTTTGTGAAGGCCTTATGGCAGAGAAACGGGGGCGGTGAAATTGTGGATTTCCGTGTTTTGAATCATCTGGGGCCTCATTTATAAACGTTGTGGCGTAAACGTAATCTGCAGCGTAAAACAAACAAAAACAAATTAACAATATGAAATATGTTCTGCAATAATATTGGCATGTTATGCAATTCATCCTCAACACAGCTGTTGCTTGTCAGATGAAATCAAATGGACGGTAATAAAATGGCATGATGCCATCGCAATGCGTAATGACGCGAAATGGCTGATCTTGCGCTCTTAGAAGATGTGGCAAATGGAAGGATTCGCGCTGTAGTGGAGCGCACCATCGGCCTGTTTAAGGGCAGACGGCGCTGCCTCGACTGCACTGGAGGGAGGTTATTGTTTACTCCTGAAAAGGTGTGCAAAATCGTGCTGCATGTGCTGTGCTACATAATGTGGCACAGCTTCCAAACGTGCCTCGACCCCTTGACGCCGATGTTGGCCAAGACCTTGTCCCCGATCATTGCCGCCAGTCTCTCATCAAGAGGGTGCAGCTCCGGTGTCCCCTTTCCCCACCCGGGACAGGAAAGCTTTTTTGCATCCACTTTGATGTCAGACCATTTTTTCTTTATTTCGGCCACGGCCCGAGGTTGTGAGGCTGCAGCGTTGCTCTGCAACCTTTTGCCACTCGAGTGCCTTTTTGGCATTAGTAATGTCCATACTGTGCCCTCAAAGGCATTTTACTTCTCCTCGCCAATGATAATTTCGACTTCACACGTGAAGTTACGTTTCTTTGTTGTCCTCTCAGTGTTTGCCATGATTTCGCAATCGATGAATATTAATTTGTGGGCGTTCCACAGACTATATATGGGCAACTATGGGCGTGGCATGAAGCCAAGTGATTGTGATTTATTAAGGGAAAACTGCGTAGGACGTGCGTGCGCACGGTTTTATAAGTCTGAATATTTCTGTGCGTACGCACATCCTATGTTTCATCCATACGCCACTTCTGGCGCAAATCCTACGCAAGGTTTTATAAATGAGGCCCCTGATCCTGTTGGATCCTACTAAATCCAAGTGAAATTGAGCGACAGCTTCCTTAGCCACTCAGAAGCCAAAACAGGTTGACCTAGACCGTCAAAATGGCGCTTCATAGTAAGGACTGGCTGAAAACCCCGCCCCACCACAAAACCTACGTGGGAAGCGCTGAAATTGCTTGTGGCGGCTGTAGTATCTCGAGAAAAAAAAAATACCTGGAATGCAAAGTCCCATTACCCTCAGCTGCACTTTGTATTCATTGCTTATTAGCACATTTTGTACATGCTTCAGCAAGTAATTAAGTAGTTGACATTGTAACATTATATGCTACTGTTATCATCAACAATGTAAGCAATTCCGTAGCATAAAGTTCAAAGCAACATGATGCCCCACAGAGCTGTTTGCATGGCTGTAGGGTGGTAGAGAAAAAAACAATATAATATGAATTGTACATTTTTTATGTAGTTATCAATTTCGTGAAATGTTGTGGAGGTGATCTGGTTATGGTTTCTCTGTTTCCCTCAGATGGTAAAGGCTATTCAAGTGTTGCGAATCCACCTTTTAGAATTAGAGAAGGTCAATGAGCTCTGTAAAGATTTCTGCAACCGTTACATCACCTGCCTCAAAACCAAGATGCACAGTGACAACCTCCTCCGCAACGACCTGGGAGGACCTTATTCCCCGTCTCATACAAGTCTCAACATGCAGCAGGTCAGTCATGGACTCTCAGTGGATCTCACACTTCCTTGATGGTATCTCTCTCTGAGTATCACTTCCCAAGATACACCTTGTCATTTATCACCAGGTAGATTTTGCTTCTGGGATATTTTCAGTCACAAATAGTATAGCTGGGTCTCTGCATTTGCTCACTAATATCTTTTTGTGATCCCTCAGGAACTAATTCAGACCTCCTCTCCATCCATGACCTCTGTCTCCAGCTCTGTTAATCCTTCAGGGATATTGGTGCCCGCTGGGGGTCTGCAACAGGGCAATGTTGCCATGACTACCATCAACTCTCAAGTGGTATCTGGTAAGCATGTGATTACACACATAACAACATGGCTGGCACATTCACATGCAGTTTTCATGGCTTGTTTCGGTGTAAGCAGTATTTGAAAGAGTTTTTTAAAGGGTTCATTTGAGACATTTCCTGTCACTCTCAAATGAAATAAAAATAAATCCTTACATTTTTCTAATATTCAACATTTATAATTTGCCAGTACTAAATGGTAGTGCCGCCTATATGCATTGCAATATTAATATGCAAAACCTATTTGGGATTTTAAAAATAAGGGTGCAAAAGATTAAAACTTAATAATGCAATAATAATTAATAATAATGCAATAAACATAACTCCTCAGAGTGAATGCAGACATGCAATCATGTAGTATAATCATGTTATATTAGTTACTAGACACTAATTGATTACTAATGATCCAATTTTAGCTTCTGGGAGCCACAGCCAATATTTGTGGGGTTCCGATGGACTTAGCAGAAGTTGAGACATCATCAACGTTAAGTAGACATTTTAGAGTGTATTTTCTCAATATGAAGCTAAATTGTCATGGTCATATTTTGGCCAATTTATTCTGCTTCTTCTGCTCCAGCCTGCAAACAAAGCCAACTCAAACTTGATTGGTCAATTTTACTCTGTCTACAAACCAATTGTCCCCTTGCCCACAAATTGTGTGCAGATATGTTTTATACTGATTACTAGTAATGGATCAATATCAACATAATCAATGTTGACATGTTCAGTCAGTGATATCAATGCAATATTTCGCTTCTGGCTCCCTTCTGGTTTTCATTCCTACATGAAGGAGCCCGTTTTAACCCCCGTCAACAGAGATTCATTTGGGTAGCACATTTTTAAACACAGATGCATGTCCCTCTTAGATCTGGTGACACAGCTAATGTAACCTGCATCTGATCTGTAAGGGTAAGGCCAAATCTTTCATAGGCTACCCTCCATGCCTGGTCACAGTGGAGAGATTACATCAATTCAATTAATTTTGTTTTGAATGCCTTGCCTCAGAGAGCTTTACAGTCTGTACACATGTGACACCCTCTGTCCCGAAACCTTCACATCGGCACAGGAAAAACTCCTCAAAAAATGAAAACTCTTCCATGAGGGAAAAAAGGGGAGAAACCTTAGGGAGAACGTCAGAGGAGGGATCCCTCTCCCGGGATGGATGTCACGTGTACGGAATGAACAATGTGAAAGAAAAGAGACATGCAATTCCTATAACAGAAATTATTCAAGTATTTGCGAGTAGTAAGCCATGTGTACAGCAGGACCACTCCAGGGACAACCACCATCAGATAGAACCACCATCCACAGAAGCCTGTAGGGAGGGAAAGCACAAAGAGTTTAGGAAAGGGTAATGCTGGTTTATGATGACAGTAATATGATTAATATTTAAAACTGATGATGATGATAGCAGCAGCAGGTGTCAGCAGGGTCCAGGGTCCAGATAGAACCATGATTCACGGAAACTTGTGAGGCGAGAAAGCACAAATACTCAATGGAAGAAACAAAGTTTGTGATGCAAATTATTGTTGAAGGAGAGAGTGAGAGGAGCTCGGTGTGTCCTAAGAAGTCCCCCGGCAGTCTAGGCCTATAGCAGCTTAACTAAGGGTTGTTCCAGGCTAACATCACAGGACATGCAACATAGGAGTAATATCTCGTCAAGACTTTTGTTCGAAAATCAAGTGAGACTCATTCCATTATCCTTCATCTTCAACTGTCAAGACAAAGAAGAAAGCTTTATCTATTCTATTTCTGATTACTGAAACAACTTTTTTTATTAGGTTTTAGCGAACACCATTATGACTTGCTCTAGTTTATCAAGAGGGCTGTTGCCTGGCACAAATACATTTTCAACTCTAATTTATTCAAACTAATACAATTTTCATCATTGGCTTATGTGTCCTTTTCCTTTCAAACCCCATTATTTCGTACTTCCATTTCTTTGTAAATTCATTTAGAAAAAATGTTATGAAGCATCAACAAGGTTATTGTTAATTAATAATCATATAGACTTTACACTATGTTTATCAGAGAGCCATGATAATATCCTTCACAAGTTGGATTGCTTCTCTGATAGAATCTTATAATGTTAATCCTGCCCTCCGGAAATCCCATTTAAGCCAAAATTAATCAATATGTGCCTTTAATCACTACACACTGAAGAGTTTCTTGATCAAGACTAATTAAGCCAGAAGCACACTGCCTTCTTTTTTTCTGGTTTGAGAGACATTATTTTGGATTTAATCATTTCGTCTCTTGTTTGCCTGTGTGGCTGAGAAGAAGTTAATAAGGCTCCGGTGTCAGTGAGAGATATGGCTGCCAGTAGCTGCTGAAGCCACTTGAACCTCATGACGGTAAATTATCCCCTCAGGTGGGACCCTGTACCAGCCGGTTGCCATGGTGACATCGCAAGGACAAGTGTTAACACAGGCGCTGCCGCCGGGAACTATCCAGATCCAGAACTCACAGGTAAAGCAGTCTGTCGATGATGCTTCCACATTTGCTCCCTCCCTGTGCCCTTTCCAGCAACACGTCATTTGTTGTTATTAAAAGGGCCTCTTTGCATCTCACAGAAAACCCCCATGGCGCCTTTTTATTGTCTCTGTCTGAACATGTGCACCCCTGCTAACAAATACAAATGGAAATAGTTCATTCCTAGGATGTTTATAGCTTAAAAGGATCCTGTCAGGTTTGACTGAGTAAAATAAATGTAAGGACAATGCTCAAAGCTAATACAAAACATATTCATGTTATGTTTTATGACTACAAATGTTTTATCTGCAGTCAATGAAAATGTTTAGAACAGTTACCTCCACATGAAATCCTGGAATATGACTTTTTAAGACACATGGCCAAATTTTTGGACCTTATCTTTCCTAATATCCAACTCAAAATACTATGTGCTCCATGTTTTATTACATCACACAAATCATTCAAATGGACCTTGTGGTTAAAGAGATACTTTTTTTAAAATGGGTACGCAATTTTTGAGCAGAGGCCTAAAAAATAGACTGGTTTTTAAGAGGTTATGGTTTAGTGGATTTGGAGCTTGTCATGGTTAAATAATATCTAATAATGATACTTGTTACATGAAGAGGATGAAAGGAGATGTACGTTTCTAACACATTGATTCTACTTAAAACCTTGCTGAGCTAACGTTATCAGAGCATTTTAGCATCATCCCTTACCTATAGCTACTGATGGTAAACTGACTGACAGTATGCACATGGTCCTTTTGCTGTTTAATGGTTAAAACATTGAATTAAGACCAATTTGCTTCACGTGAGCACTGTGCTCTGTCTCCATCTCCACTTTCACATAAAAGCTTTGAAAGCTTCTGAGCCCCACAGACCCAAATTAATGCGGTAAATTCACTCGACACACCCTCGGATTTAACTCGGTTGAATTTTAGTTTCCCTATATGCTGATATTCATGGTAAACGCAGTGTAAAAAGATTAACCTGAGGCAAAGCTATTTAATCAGTGATTAAATTGCACACAGTAACACACAGTTTGTGTTTAGGACATTTCTTGTAATGGTTACTGGTACCGATGCACGCTGGAACCCAAAAATACAATTCGACACAGATTGACAAGACACGTAGGCAGGGAAGCCTTGGTCAAAAAACAGTCTCTGTCAGAACAAACGTATATCAGGCTAGTAGGGACACACTGGCGATAACATAAGACAATCTGGGAGGGACCAATAGAAAGTGACGGGCTTTAATGGTGAGTGGCTGATGAGGGGATGTGCTGCAGGTGAGCTGGCCAAGGAGAACCAGGTGAGGGTAATGAGCCGATGATGTGGGAGGATCTCAAACGACAGGAGAGGTAGAAAACATACAGATGAGATGAAAACAAACTAGGATGTAGACGAATGTATGACATCTTTAACTCAGACATTTTTACAATTAAAAAAAAATATAAAATGTTCTACACAAGTAGCTCAAAAAGCTAATACCTAAATATTTGAGGTCCTATAAAAACAGTTTTCTCAATAATCCCAGACAATGTCGTGTGTGTGTGTGTGTGTGTGTGTGTGTGTGTGTGTGTGTGTGTGTGTTCAGGACATCTCTGACTCCACCCTAGGTAAATTGCAAACTTCGATGAAAAGCTAACTTATTCATAAAGATACTTTTTATTCAAATCACAGTGAGGCATTGTTTCAAAACATCGTCCATAATAGCGATGAAGGCTGCAAGAAGTAGCTGGAGGAAGCTACTTAGAGTACATGTTATGCCTTAGTTGAGCTAAGCTTCATGGTTAAAGGCCCAAAGAAAGGCTGTTGATAACTTAGAGCTACAACGGTTTCACTGAAATTGTGATTAAACATTACCAGTAGAGAACCATTTTGCCTCATACAATCCTCTCTCTTTTGTTTATTTTAAATTGGTCCCTCTGTTTTATTAAAGCAATAAAGAGGCTGTACTTCATCGTCCAGTAATGTAACAGTTCGGGGGTGTTGTTCGGCAACCCACAAACTGTTACATTATTGAAGATAAAGTACTGCCCCAAGTACCTTATCGCTTTTATAATACGGTTACCAGTGAAATTATAAATAGTAAGTAAATAGCTGCATTTCAGCACAAAATAGTTGTGGCCACCAAACGGTGTGTATCTCATTTCAGTAATCTAGAGAAAAAATAGTCCCTGTACGTGCGTGTAAACAGCATTGGATCCTGCACCATCTCATTCATTCACATCACTCATGACATCCACCTTAATTGTCCTGTTTATGGAATTTCTGTTTTTTTTCCGGCGATCGTCCCCGAGCTACAAGCTAAAATGTCAACGGTCGCGCAAAAGCTAACCGCTACTTTGAGTGCGCTGTGAAACAGAACGCTCAGATCAATGTGAACAGCAACTGTACATTATCCTCAATAATGCATCCCCGGTTACTTGCTCTCAACCAATCACAACGCTGGATTTCATCTACACGTATTGTAATCAGAATTATGAGTCAGTTAATTTGATACGTACTTGTCTGTACTAATTAAGTTGAGCTCATAACATTTAGGCCACATTTACACATAGCCGGGTATTTACAGAAACAAATATTTCTGCCCCTCCGTTTTCAAAAATAACGTCGTACACACAAGGTCGTTTTCAAAAAAGTTTCTGTTTATATGAACCCGCATAAATACGGCCCCGGGCGCCATCATAACTATGCCAAACCTGTAGTCGGCAGTGTAACGAGAAGGATAAAGACATGCAATCCAATCAGAATTCTCAAAACCAACAACAACTACGAAAAACACAATCAAACTAACCGTAAACATAGGACACTCACATGAAGTGAAGCATTTTTAGTCGCATACTGTGACGTTTGACAACCTAAAACTCTGTTTGACCTAGTTCACACGCAAACAAAAAAAAAAAGAGTTTTCAGAAATCTCCACTTTGGCTGGAGTTTTTAGAAATGATCGTGATAAAACCTCAGTTTTTGTGTAAATGAAAGGCCAAAACGCATGAAAGTATATGCGTTTTCCCATCGTGTAAGCGGGGTCTGAGATGTGCTGCTTGTACTGGGAAGTTTTAGTGAGGACAGTACGATACTAGGTAGAACATGGACTTACTATAAACTAGTCCTTTAAACACAACCACTGGTTGAGTGGATGTCAAGAATGATATTTTATAATTACTTGATTTTTTTAGTTCAAAACATCAAACGCATGCATGAGTCATGTGAAAATCACAATACTAAGTGGATTTAGAGTATCACCGGTGCGTCTCGCCTTTTCTGGCCTTGGCAGTCTCCACACTAGCTTATAGATACATACAGTGATCCTGATGCAGCATCAGTTTCAGGCAGGTCATTCTGTGCTTGAAAGTCAGAAGAGGCCTCGGTGAATAGTCCCAACCCGGCTGAGGTAGAGGGCTACATGTCGGCTGGGAATTGAAAACAGCCCTGTTACTACTTTGCCGACAAGCTCTGAGTAATCACACTCTCAAGCTTTGTGCCACCAATTAAGTCAACTTTGCTTTCCCCCGCAACACACGCACTCTCAGGGCTGGGGGGTATAAGAGTGTTATCCACATCACAGCCAGCAGCAGCTGTAATGACTGTTGTTCTGTGTGGGGAGCATGAGAGGGAGACGTTAGTGTGTGAATGTATGTTTTTATGGCCCTTGTGTGTGCATGGGTTAAAGTGGGGCCTGCATGTTGTTGGCTGCATATAGGTTTGTCATTTATCTCTAAAATATCAAGGATTATTTCCATTACTACACTCTACATTACATTTTGTATTCTTCCTGGTTTTTGTCCTCCATTTGAATGCAAATTAAATGTTCAAACAGTATGCTCCCCTCTGTGTGTGTTTTAGCATCCACAAAATGGAGGCTTTTAAAAGAAATCAAACAAAAATCTCAGTTACATGGCACAATTATAATGTTGGACTAACACAAGTATTACATTTGAACAACTATGCATGCAGTCATATGCACTGAGCAATGCGAATTGGTACATATTCATTGATAGAAATAGAAGATAGAAGATCAAAGAAGAGAGGGCTAATTGTGTTGTGATTTTTTTATTTATATTAATCCACACTCCAGTGAGTATTGGTGGCAGCGCAATGGTGCATGTGGGATTGAGTCAAAATAGAGTCAAAGTAAGCAGTGTGTGTGGAACCCGATGGCACTGAGGGCAAAAGAGATAACAGGCGATTATAAATTTTGCTTCCTAAATACAGATTTCTTGATAAGAAACATGTTTTCCTTTCTTTTCAGTTATTTCCCCACCCTAACTCTTATTTAATATTGACTCTTTACTAGAACACCCACATAATGTACAAACCATGAGTGCAACCATAGAACCACTGATGACCATCTCAGCCCTAAATGTCCCCACAGTGTACTACGAAGTCGGTCCTCACAAGTATGGCTCAGCCAGACCCAAACATATGGTCTCACACACATCCATAAATGCACGGCAGGCTGTCAAACACTGTCAATACTCTAAGAGCTTCACGTCCTTCAGCACTTTCACTCCAAACAATAACCCAGAATAAGGATTTCTCACTGAACACCAAGACAAGCTTAGCTCAATACAAATAAAAAATAAAGACAAAAACAGTCACACTTTGTACCAGTAGGTCACTAATTCAACACCAAAGGGGGAAATGTAAACTTTGCACCAAAGCCTCGCCTCTACGCTCCTTATCGAAGCACCAAAAGGACAAATGACCCTCTTGTGTTTCAACACAGCGAAGGGCGCTGCTTTAAGTGTTATTACTCAAATTCAGTTTCCATGGTGACTCTTGAGGAGGTGTTTGTGCCCTTGCCACTGAAAGAAATAGATAATTGGTAGTCTCCCTTTGTTTCCATGGCAACAATAAGTAAGACATATCATCCACTCTCTTTTCTTCTCTTCTCCTCCTGTGTTTATTGTTAAGGTCAACTTGGACCTGTCGTCCCTGTTGGACAGCGAGGACAAGAAGTCCAAGAATAAGAGGGGTGTCCTGCCAAAACACGCAACCAACATCATGCGCTCCTGGCTCTTTCAACATCTCATGGTGAGGCAAAGTGTGTGTCTGAGATGGTCATCGCTTTGGCTTGTTCAAAGCAAATGTGAAGTGCTTTGACAACTCAGACCCTGTATCTTCCTTCTTTCAGCACCCATACCCAACAGAAGATGAGAAAAGGCAGATTGCTGCACAAACTAATCTAACGCTTTTACAAGTGAACAACTGGTAAGATGCCACAAAGTCCTCGTGTAGGTAGAAAGAGAGACACTGCTTTCTGTTATTGTAATTATATATGTGGAGTGGAGGAGTTACTTTTACTTGAATGTGCTGTAACTTTTCAGCATATTGGTGACACTGTACTGCCATCTCCTGGTTGTATACACCAAGTACACCTTAGACCAAATTGTGCTATGTGGAACTCTTTGATATTTTGGTTCACAAGGGAAAAAGATAAGAAATTTATTGTTAAAAAAAAAGGTGCAGACTTCGATTTCAATCGTTTCATCCATTGAATACAATGGATGATATTTGTTAAATGTTATTTTCTGGTGTAAATATATTGGAATTGTGTGTTTTTTCATTTAAATCACTGATGAAAGCACTGTATTTAAGTACGGGAGAAAACCTTGACCTGTTCTTGCTCAGGTTCATCAATGCTCGCCGGCGTATCCTCCAACCCATGTTGGACGCCAGTAACCCGGACCCGGCTCCTAAAGCCAAGAAGATGAAGTCCCAGCACCGTCCGACACAGCGCTTCTGGCCCGACTCCATCGTGGCTGGAGTACTGCAGACGCACAGATCAGGAAACAACTCAGACAGTAAGACAATTCTAACTTTTCCCAGAAAATAAAATTTGTTCTCAATTCAAACTCTGTATGTTTGAAATGTCCCCACTAGATTTCAGATCACTTTCATTTATGTGAGAAGACAGGAATTTATGATCTGATATTTTTGCACCGAAGCTGTGTAAGGCAGAGCAGAGCAATACGAGGATATTCTGGAAGGGGAAGATCTGAATAATTAGTTGGGTGTCACAAGGACGGACTCAAATGTAAGTACAACGATTGGTAGTGTTTTAAGGAGGTTTATTGGGAAACCAGGCTGGATGGGGGTGATGGTGAATTGGGGGGTGGGCGGCAGGCAAACATGCCAGAACAGTAATAATAGATACAGAAAAAAGGACTACACGCTATATATTTCATAGCCTTAGCTTATGAGTGTATGAGAGCATGAGTGGGTAGACACACTGCAGGAATGAGGCGCTGATCAATGGCAGCTGTGTGAGCTGAGGGAGGTGATTAGCCAATTACAGGGAGGTGTGACGGTATGTATACAAAACACGAAAACATGAGGCACTGAAATACACTTAAGTAAGCACAAGGACGATAAGGCCGTGACATAATGAAGCCATACGTAGAGAGCAGTGGAGGATTGTAAAATTGTAACTTAAAAAAAACCTTTGAGACTTTCTGGGGCTGGCGGGGTGCCGCTTGAGGCAGCGCTCTATATAATGGTAGGGGAACGCTTTTATATCAAAATTGAGACGCTCTAACTTCGGTTTCACTGGGACTTACCGTTATTAAAATGGCTTCCCTGGGCCACCGTACCCCAGATGCTTGACAGCAACTACAGTAAAGAAGGAAGCAGGGATGGATGTGGAGGCAATTGATTTCATCAGTCAGTTTTTATGACTCTTCTCCCCTCAGACCCGCTGAGTATGGACAGCCTTCAGTCACTGTCTTCGGACTCGGCCACCCTGGCTATGCAGCAGGCCATGCTGGGAGCCGACGACTCCATGGACGGCACAGAGGACGAGGATGAAGAGGAGGACGAGGAGGAGGAGGAAGAAGAGGAGGAGGGGATGGAGGAGGAAGAGGAGGATGAGGGAGAGGAGGAAAATGACAGCGTGAGGCTAATATCTGGCAGGGGGGCAGTAAGAGAAAGGAGAGATCTGTGCATGGAGCACAGGGAGGAACTTGGGTAGATGACAAGAGAAAAAGACCACAGGAGGAGAAAGGAGAGATCTGTGCATGGAGCACAGAGAGGAACTTGGGTTGATGACAAGAGAAAAAGACCACATGAACTTAGCACAGCCTCATTCAAACTGAACTAGGACAGCTCTAATGCTAAGTCACTTGAGACGATCTGAGGACATACAAGGCTTTCTCCAAATCCATCAGAGACTGTGACCCTAATCAAACACTACGACCATCGTGATACGGATTGCGGAAGACTGATGTGACTTCCATGATGAATATGTGTGGTTTCATTTAACTAGTGAATGTTCTTATGCAGTGAGCTCTCAAAATATTTGGATAGTAGCACATTTTTTTACTCTATAGCATCTGTTATTTATGGACAGAAATGGCACAGGAACGCAGAAGTTGAAGAGATGGCTGCCAGTTTTAAATTGAGACGTTTATCTTAGCAGAAGCTTGGTGCTTTCAGTATAAAATAACAGTACAGTAAACAAGTAGTTTTGAATGCATTTTACTGTAAACTGAAAAGGGAGCAATAGAATGAGGAATGCAGTGTGATTTATGACATTATGTTCATGTATGTTTTATTGTAATTGAAAATTATCTTTTCAAATATCATGACACTGTAAAATGATTGAAGTTCAATTTTCAACCAACAGTAACTGCAGTTTCTCTCATTTTGCTTCCTAAAATAAGAGCGAAAAAAACCTCTGCAGTAGTGTGTTGTCTTCCACTGCTGTCACGTCATTCATGCCTTTTCAATGATCCATAGGTTCTCAGGTCGCTACGTTTCTTCTTCTTGAGCAAATCAGTTGACTGATGGCTCCAGCAAACCTTTTTAGAGCATGACTTTTAAACAATCGTAGTTCATTTTATTTCTCAAGTGCAAATAAAAAAAGAGAAAAAAACCTTGAAGCCGGTGTATACTGGCTACACTTATAGCATGTACATCGGATTTCTCACATGTTTGCATTCTGATGTTGAAAGTGTGCATATTTATTCTTTTTTTGCATGGCCTCAGATGGTAGCTCAATGAACAACGAGACAATGGCAGTTGGTTCTGAACAGACAAAGGTCATGTTACTGTGACCCTAGGTTTGTAAGCACAGGGGGAAGCCCTTTGCTGGACTCTATGGGAAATACTACTCTCCAATCTCTAGCATCCTTTTGCCCATTGAAGATTTGCAGCCCAATCATGGCGTGTTTGCTGATATATATACGGACCACATAGTATGTGATTTCTTCCTGCTATCAGTGTATGAGCGACAGGGATCATTGGTAGAGGGCTTCACCTGTGAAAATTGAACTAGGGTTAGAATATGGTAACATTTGCCATGCCGCGACATAACATCAACCAAATCAATGACCAAAGTTTAGTCTTTATGACTTCTTCTTTGCTGAACCAGCAATGAAAGGCCCACCCAACCCAAGTAGTACACACCTGCGTAGAGATATGTCCCAACCCTGTTAGGGTCCAACGGACAGTGAGTAGTCATTCGACAGCCAGCTCACCACCTTCACTGATTATAAAGGAGCCTGAGGACATGACTGAGTATCCACTCATTTGGCAGGCCCATCCTGATAGGCCTCAGTGGGCAGAGGGTAGTATTACCCACACACTCCAGAACGGGGCAGACCCCTGTCTTGCAAAGCTTTTGAATAAGGCTGTTTTATCAGCCAGTGGCCATGCACATATTTGACTTCAGCCAAAGCAAAGTTATTTTAAGGGAGCGGTCTTTTTTTACCTTGGCTAAAACTGGCACAAAATAACAATCTACAAACTGTCTCACCCCCATATCCACACAAAGAGAAATCACAGACAAGGCCAGCGACGATGGAACCCCCAACCGACAAAGCCAACTGTTTGAACTTTAAAAAAAAAAGACGACAGCGAGAATGAGAGCAAAAACTCAGCAGTAATGTCTTTCAATTTTAGGTTAAGGATTTTGAAAAAACTGTGAAACTATTTCAGCTTTGTTTTGTACTAGAACACACAAATCGAGTCGCTTGTTTGTAATGTGAAGGCAGAAAAAGAGAAAAACATTAACGTATTGAAAGTTCTGATTGTTCATTGTGGAATATTTTATTCATTAATTCTTTTCTCTTTTACTTAAAAAAAAGGATCTTCCAGAGCAAGTGACAGACACGAGGGAGTATTTCTATTTTATTTGTGCACTTGTCATAATCTATTCTGTTTCAATAGACCCATTTTAATAATTAAAACATGTTGTGACTTTGACTGTCATATGAAGGTTCTGCTTAGGCTGAGCAAACCCATCTAGGGGCAAAGATTCCCAAACAGGAGATAAGCGGTTTGATTCATGAGATAAAGTTGATGATATGATAATGTCCAAGACAGGATCTTAACAGAGCGAGCTGCATGTTCGTGGGACATTTCTTCACCGGCTTCATTGCAAACTTGTCACGGGAGTTGCGTGGGGAAAAAGGCAGGACTCAAACGCAGAGTTTTCAGGAAACAAAAGGGACTTTAATAGTCAAAAGGTTTTCAAAAGCAAAAGGCCAAGGGGCAAGAACAGAGACAGGAACCAGGACGTGGACAGGGACTTGGACTTCCATACATTGAACAATGATGCGACAAGTGACAAACATGGCTTAAATACACTAGGGAGGTGCAGGTGATTGGACACAGGTGGAAACAATCATGACATGACAGACACAGAGGATACAGGATAAGGCAGGAAGTGACATGACCCAGGGAGAACAGAGGCAAGAAACTACAAAATAAAACCAGACATTAACCCAAACCCTGACAAAACTATTCTCGATCATAGTGTTAGTAGTCTAAATATTGGTTTAGCTTCCCTCATTTTCCTGTCCCACGTGTTGTCTCCCACCCACTGGTGTTTAATATAGGCTGTAATTTTAAGTTGCTTGAGACTCCCTTCCAAATGTTCCCCCTCCTCCCAGAGCCAAACAAGGCTCTCTCCACCACAGGGTTTCAGCTGCTGAGATGTGAGACTCCTCCTGGAGTTAAATGGAAATTCCTCCCGGGTCGGTTTACCAATATTGTATTGTCATTTATTGTTATTCACCCGGCGTGTATAATGGCATCCTTGCTCCCCACCCCTTTTACCCATCTCCAAAAGTCAGTTTTTAATTGCAGCATCACTTATTAAAGATCTGCTATTGTCTACCTATGCTGCTTTTCTCCTTCTTCAGTTGGACTCTGAAGTAATATAAATTATGGAATAAAAGCAGCATGAGGCCATCAGTGGGACATTAACATGAGAGACCAACACCTTTAATGTATTCAGTAAGTGTCTGTTTGATGGTATGGGCATGGCAACATTTATTCTAGAAATGTTTCACACAAGAGGAAAGTAGGCAGTGACCTTGGCTGGACAGAAAGAACAGAGCAAGTAGAATACAATACCCAAATATAATGTATCCAATACAATAGTATAAGGTAGGCATTTTATTTACTGTGCAGCAACATAATATAAACCAAAAAGCTGCTCATTAATCATTAAATGTGTTTTATTTAATTTGTCATGTTGTTTGGGTACAGTGTGGATCAATTTAAACCAGCGAGGTTCACTATATATTTAATAATGCAAGAATGTTCAGCAAGATTTGTTTGAGGTGTATGCTTATATATAGATATACACACACACACACACACACACACACACACACACACACACACACACACAAGCACACACATTTTATATATTTTGTGGAGCAAATGGAGACAGAACCTGCAGCCGGGACACCACTAATGGCGTCCTGCGTGAAACCATATGTCAGAAAACCATTCATAATTTATTCTTAGTAAGAGAGCAGTTTTGATACGGTTGTTTTTCTCTCTATTTGAAACTGCAATGATAATCCATGTGAAAAGGCATATCTGGAAGTTTAATTGAATATGTGGTTTACTTCTATTGTTATCTTTTATGAAAAAGGGTTTTAAGCGGAGGTTGTCGTCATCGGTCGTACTCACTGTTGGAATGAGATGAAGAGGATTTCTGTGACCTAGAAATCCATCTCAAGGCTCCATCTTAAAGGAAATCTTAAAATGCATCTTGAGTTGTGATGGTTGAAGAGATATGTTAAGCAAGCTTCATCTAAAACACCCAGAATTATCCTCTGACTTCATTTCAAACCATCGCAGGACTCAAGTGCATACAAAGATAAAAATGGGACTGTTCTTCTCGTGTTCATACATTGTAATTATTTAAGATGAGAAAAGCTTCTCCCCTTCACCTTGTGTGTTCCATTCATCCATCTTCAGCCGCTTATCCAGGGTCGGGTCGCGGGGGCAACAGCTCCAGCAGGGGACCCCAAACTTCCCTTTCACGGCCCACATCTACCAGCTCTGACTGGGGGATCCCAAGGCGTTCCCAGACCAGTGCCCAGGGGGGCATCCTCACCAGATGCTCAAACCACCTCAACTGGCTCCTTTCGACGCAACGGAGCAGCGGCTCTACTCCGAGCTCCTCACCAATGGCTGAGCCTTGTGTGTTGAGCATTGTAAATTTGTTAAATTTGTTAAATTTTTTTAAATTGTAAATCACCTTAGTATTACTTGTGTTTTTATCCAATTTGAATGCTCTAAAAGGTGATTTGCTTCACAAGGGCCAACAGCTACTGTTGTTGATCCAAAGCGACTTACATTGCATTTACAACCCATGGCTTTTTACATTTTTGCCTGGGGAAGCAATCAGGGGTTATGTGTCTTGCTCAGGGTCACTTCGATATGGGACATGGAGCAGCCGGGGCTCGAACCGCCAAACATGCGGTTCTCTTCACACCCTCTCTACCCCTGCGCCACATCGAACCCCCTATAATTTAACACTGTAATGCTCATCCGACGGAAATCCTAAAATGTGGCAGCTTCACAAAACGATGGGTGCTTTGACTTACTGAACGTCGTCACTTAACTGACAACCACTCCAAGGAAAAGATGTGTAATATTTTTAATTCCTCTTGCCTTGACTCGTTTGCTGGCATCTCACTTGGGTGGGACCAAGACGTGATGAGAGGAGGTGAGCAATGGAATTAAGGTGGTTCAAACGGGGAGGGGAGAAAGACCTGCGCCTCATCATGAGCTGTAAGTAAAAAGTGGAAGAAGTTACCATCATCAATTAGTTTGTGGGCCACCATTAAGAAGCCTTCGGCTCAGCATTTTGGCCATTGCAATCAGGTACCACGAGAGACCCAAGAGGCCGGAACTCAAAAACAATAAGTAAGACATTTGTGGTTGAACAATATTTTACAATAAATGTTTTTATAGTGGATACACATCGTAATTAAGGTTTTAAGACCAAAACACATTAAACATTCCAGATCAGAAAACATCGCAGTAGAGGCCTGTCAATCACAATATAGCCCCACGCTAAAGCCTACCCTGCTTTCTTGTCCAGCAAACTTTGTTAAAGTTAATTTAATCAGGTTTATCTCGTGATTTCCTGTTTTATTTTGAAAGTTAACCGTCCTCTTGTTTCAGACAACATGACCCTTCCTCCTGTGTGCCGTCCGATTGCCCCCCTGATTGTTTCCACCTTTGCCCTTAGCCTGTGTGTGTATATACTGTCAGAGTCTCCCTTTGTCCTGTGCCAGTTTGTCTTGTCCCATGTGGAAGAGAACCTGCCAGCACCCATTTTGTTTGCAAAGTCCTTCTATCTTGTTTGAACCCACTTTAGGCTCTTTCTTTTTTTGCCCTTTTGCCATTCCCAGGTCTTGTTAATTTTGTACTTTGTTCAAGCTCTATTTCTGTTGGTTATTTTTAGGTTGACTTTTGTAAATAAACTTTGATTTTTGAACCTTGTCTCAAGAGTCATGCATCTGGGTTCAGGGCCAATGTCCGGGCGTGACATTTCTGGTCCATTTGACGCTCAACATTTTGCTTTGAGCATTCAGAAAATGATGTAGTTCTTTTCAAACCTTGTGTTTCTTTGAGACGCTATACAACACAAAACGTGTAACACTGAACTGAACCGTGGCTCTCCTTAGCTTTTATACACCCCAAGTACAACACAGATCCCATTCACACACTAGCCAAATGCTTGTTCAGTCCTGTTGGATCCGATTAATCAATTTTTAGATGTTTTTTCCTCTATAACACATACAGTATACTGCAGTGAGCAGAAACATGACTATCCCTATTGCATGGTACAGTATCTCAGCCAGGAGTCGCTCGGAGGCTGTAATCCAGTAAAAATAGTCTCTAAATGACAGAGGCTGAAAAAGCCACTAGTGTGGTTTACTTGTTTGAAGTGGACCACAGCCACCGTGCTTCACAACAGGGCTAGACTAGAGAAACACACACACATGCTGAAGGTCTGCTGCAGTCTGTGCCATCTCAGCCCCTAGATGCTCCCAGATGTCCTCCCTGTAATTAGAGTCAGACCCGGGTCGGCCCAGTCCAGCCCAGATTCAACCTCTCATTTACAGACGCCCTCCCTGAATACTTAAGGAGCTTTCCCACCCAGTGCTGGCTTTTAGAGTAAGTCGTTGGCTTATTTATAAAAGTATTACCAAAGAAAGCTGGAAGACTTACGGTAAGATGTCTTTAGCTTCCCTCATTTGCTCAGAATAATGTTAATTGCATTTCTAATTGCCTTTCCACCAATTTGGAAAATGTACTCTTGGTGTTTTCTTAATTGTAGATTCAGGTATTTCTGCTTGAATTTATCGCATATGGGAAAGGAAAGCAGTCTGATTTGTACTGAGATCGCGAAATATCTTCCTTTGTGTCAGGATATAAGCTGTTTTTTATCTCTGGGAAGGAGTTCAAAATGTCCATCGCCCAGGCGGCGGCCAAGGCCATACTATCTGATGCCCTGCTGCAGAGCAGCCCCGGGCTAAACCGGATCAGCCACCTGGAGCTGGAGCTTCCTTTAGACAAGGTCATCAAGTATGTGTCTGTCGGCCTTCCCCTGATGCTGGTGTCCATGGCCTTAGCTCGTGAGATCTCCCTGGGTGAGCATCTTCTTCTATGTATATATTTGTTAAACCTGTGAGGGATGGAGGGATTTTGTGTTTCAATGTCATTCAATTTATTATATTTCACTTGGTAAACTCCATTTCCTTTTTAGTTTAAGGAGAAATATGATACCTTGAAATTCCTTTAGCTCATTGTATTCATTCGTTCATTGTAACACATCGGTTTAGATGGAAATAATACGTTTAATGTCTATAACCAAAACATGGAATAATTTAATCATAGTAGTTGAAAAGAATGTGTGCACTTTCCCTGCATCTTTTGATTAAGGTGATTCTCAATCCGTACTCCTCCCTTTTTAATTTGGAGGAAACTAAATATTATATGCAATAACAGCGTGGTAATTACACAGCACTTTCCTTAACAGAATAAAGCAGGATGTAGAAAACACTTTAAACAACTGTTTATAAAAAAAGGGGAAGACATGGTGACTCAATTACAGGAAAACAAAAATAGGCACTTTATTGGACAGACAGTACATTAGCGGTGGGCAACTGAGCATAAGGATCATCTTTGCAGCTCCTTAACCATCCAACCATCCGCCAGCCAATCACAGGGCTAACACAGAGACATACAACCATTCACACTCACATTCATACAGCTACGGGCAATTTAAAGTCCCCAATTAACCTGATCCCCTGACCATGTCTTTAGACTGTGGGAGGAAGCCGAAGTACCCGGAGAGAACCCACGCAGACACGGGGAGAACATGCAGACTCCACACAAGGAAGGCCACTGGGCAGAGTTGAACCCAGGACCTTCTTGCTGTGAGGCAACAGTGCTAACCACCACGCCACCGTGACGCCCTCCCCTTAACCATGCTGGACCAATTTAAAAAGTTGTTGTCCGCATTCGTCACGTCGACCAAAAAACATGAGCATTTGTGTTCAGGTCAAAATTCACCCTTTAAATCATCTTTCACGTAATACAGTGCATACCAAAGCTGCAATAATGATGTGACAAAACAAAATCTCTGTAAACACAATCACAACCCCTCAACTAGTCCTTTGACTGTTCTGCTGTTGCCTAAAGTGTTTTAAACCAGAGAAATATTTGACATGTAACATGCAAGCAACCGGTCTGTCCTTTGGCATTCAAAGAACACAACATGCTCAGAATACACAGTATAGGTGACAATACTAAAGTATAAGTCGCTGAGGAGGCTGATTCCCTTGACTTTGAACTAAATGTCGTCTCTCTAGAGCTGGTCTGCAATCAGTCGGGTGCTCCTGATGCTAATTGCCATGGGGATGATTGAGAGTCGCATTCACTAACGCTGGCAGGCTGTAATTACATGGCAGTTCTTCTATGGAAGCCCCCCCCCCGCCCCCGCTCGTTTGAGTCAAAGAGTGGATATGTTGATTAACAAGGGGGGGCATGATGGGGTAAGGCGGGGGTGCATGGTTCTACTGATAGATCTTGGCTGCCTTTCTGCTGGCTTGTTAGTTTCAAAACAGTGCTTGATTGCGCTGCTTTCTTGTTTACTTGCACCTGGAGTCTGAGCCAAGAATGCTTGTACGAAGCACAAAATGTAGAGACTATCTGCCTGTGTGAGTGGGAGGGTATATTTGGGCAGTGGCAGAAATGTAGGTTGCCTCACTTTGCCAAATGGCTAACAGGGGCTGGGAGTGAGGGGGGGAGAAAAGTCAAGATTTCATGAGATGGCATGTGCTGTTATTTTTTTTCTTTAGAATGAGTTGTCAATGCACTCACCCCCATACAGTGGGGAGAACAAGTATTTGACACACTGCCGATTTTGCAGGTTTATAATGCCATATGAAAAAAAACTTTAGTGATAGATTAAGTAAATTAATTTTCACTTTCACCTGCAGCATGCAAAAGAATATGCGACATAGCTGGCCATTAAGGGAACTACCCGATGGGCCATCATTGTTTGGAGTTCAAAAATACAAGCAACCTCTTCTTTTTTATATATCTAAGGCCAATATTAATGGCTCTGCTCGGTCACAATCCTCAATTGCGAAAATCTTTTTGGGTGTCACCATTAATCTGTTCAAATGCGGCTGCTTGATTGCACACATACTAGCACACACGCTATATCTGGACAGTTTGAGGTGGACTTTCAGGTTAAATTACATCCCCACAGTAAATTAGTGGCAGTGTGTTTCTACTTACAGAAAGCGGGGCAGTTGTGGTCTTGTAAAAAAATAAAATCTCTTCAAAGGATCTGTATTATGTGGGGCACACCCTTAGTGTGTTCCCTCAAACCCTCTGCTTTAGGGTGGAGCACCGTTGGGAAATGACAGATGGGTGCATGGAGCATGGATCCAAGTGGTTGGACTACATGAGGTGAACTAAATATAAGGTGGAGCACAGCCAACTTTGGAATGGAGTTGGCCAGGGTTTTAAATGCCAGGTTGCCATTTTGAAACATATGATTTCTCCAGTGGAATTATGTTTCACTGAAAAGAAAAGGGCATGCAGACCATCACATGTCTCATAGTTGACCTTCAGTAGTGTGTGTGTGTGTGTCTGTGTGTGTGTGTGTGTGTGTAGCTACTTGTACAGACCAATTTGAATTCTAGACCTTGAGAGTGAAGACAGCTTTGGAAAGTGAAGCCTTTTTCCTCACTTTGGGACGTTTGAGGTTTCAGACTGGAGATTCTTTACTCTGATAAGAATTCATTTTAGGTTAGGGACAACTGACAGTTGGGATCTGATGTTAAGGTCAGTGCCAGGGGCTAGGAAATGCATCACAGCAATCATTTTTTCTCACAAAGACAGAAGAACTACGTTGTGGGTGTTCATGTGTATCAACTCAAGTGTTTAGCAACTTCTTAAATGCAATTTCAGAAACCATTTCAGTGGATGTTATATTTCAAAATGTGTTCATTCATCAGGCCCACAGATCAGCTGCTTTCCTCCCGGCAACTTCTCCATCAAGCAGGCCAGCTACGTCGACACATACTGCTGGGACTCTCTCATGCATCATGAGTTTGACAGCAATGGGAACCTTGAGGAGCGCTCGCTCTGGGTACACAAAGTACGTTTTTGAGACTCTGATCAAGCTTATCCAACTTGTTATTCACACTTAGCTGACAAAGTTAAACTGCTAAAACACAGGTGTCAAGACCCGAATCCGGCACCGCGGGGGATCCAGTGCGGCCCACTTTGCTATTGTGAGGATTTGCTATTGTGAGGATTATAGAAAGACATAAATTGGATTTCTATAAAAGTAGCTGCTATTCCTAAAAAGTCCACTGGGGGTTGCACTCTGTGAGTGAGCGCATGAGACCAGGGGGACCAGGTCGTTCACCAACGCAGTGTCGGTAGATCCCTTCCATGAAACGTCAGGTCACCACGCATGCACGATCGCTTCTGACAAACGAGAGGCTCGGTTTTTTTTTTCATACAGATTCATTTTGGGCTCCCGGTATGCAGCGCTGTTGTTCTGTTTTGTTACCTACTGCTCGTAATTATTATACTGCCCGAGCCGGGGGGTAGATCACCATGACTTGGATTGAAAAGTTCAAACCAGCACAAACCTTGAGAGACGAAGAGGTGTGGGGACCCTGTGCGTTAGACCTTTTTGACCACGGCATTACTGCTCGCAGCAGCCCCGCTTGGAAATGACTATCCCTCCCGGACCATCCACGCACCAACCCCCCCTATGCTTTTGGTCTGGCCCACTTGTGGGCAGCATCTGCCCCAAACCTAAAATGAGTTTGACACCCCTGTGTCAGTTAAAAATGTTAAACCATTTTTCAAGTACATGCATTTTTGCCATAACCATTTACAAAGTATTTAGACTTTTCCAGGATGTTAAGTCATTGTTTAAAAGAGTCGTTTCATTCAACTTTTTCATCTCATTGATCATCCAGATGTTCCCATACTCTCTTCTGGCCATGGCAGTGTTGATGTACTTGCCAGCTCTAATCTGGCGCCAGCTTGTCATGCCCACGCTGGGTTCAGACCTGCTCTTCATAATTGATGAACTGGATAAGTCGTACAACCGCTCAATCCGAATGGCTCAGAGCATTCTCGACATGCGGCAGAACACTAAGAACCCCCTCACATTTCAGGCCGAACTGCAAAGGTAAGAGACCAACTGCTGGCTTATAGCACAATTATTGATTGCTTTGTCTTTTTTTAAAGAATATGCTTCCATTTCAAGTATTTTTAAGTAACCTAATATCAGGAAGCCTTGATTTTCCCGCTAAACTAGAATATGCTTTTTTCTCAATAGAGAAATTGGGTCACTGCAGTAGCAAATAAAAATATCTTGCTCAAAGGGTATACAGAAGTGAACTTGTTGACAGCTTTGACACTTATGTAGAGATGCTCCCAGCTGGGATTGATGAGCATAAAGAAGAACATGCTGCTAAGTTTCTCTTCCTTCTCCAATTGCAGGGCCAGGAAGAAGCAATACTTTGAGTACCCCCTTCTTGAGAGATACATGCAGTGCAAGCAAAACTCTTATTTCCTTGTCAGCATGCTTTTCTTGCGGGGCTTCCTCCTCTTGACCTTTATGACAGCTGCCTGTCTCTACCTGGCCTACTTCCACCTGTCTGCCTTCCTGCAGGACGAGTTCAGCTGCTTTGTCCGCACCGGCATGCTACGTGATCAGAATTGGGTTCCTGAACTGGTTCAGTGCAAAATGATTGGCCAGTTGGTTTTTCAGGTTATAAGCGTGGCAAACGGTGCAATCTACGTCCTGTTGGCTCCTATTGTCCTCTTCAGCCTGATTCGGCTCTTTGTCTGGGACACCACCTTTTTCTCTGTCTACGAGGTCCTCCCGGCCCTCAACCTCATCCATCACCGTAAACTCGGCTGCCCATTGAATGACCTCAATGTCCTCTTGCTCTTCCTGCATGCCAACATAGCTCACCTGATGTCCTATGGGAAGGTGAGGGCACTGTGCTCACTAGCGCCACCACAGGTTGGCAATACCACCGCAGCGCAGGGATTGAGTGCGATGCTGACCCAAGAGGAGATGGAAGAGCGTGAGGAGGCTGCGATGGAGCTGACAGAGGAGGTGGAGGAGGCCAAGGAGGAGGGGAAGCTTAACTTGGTGGATATCATGACTATTCTGGGAGCGGCGCAGGGAAGGGTAGTGAACTGCAGCGAGAAGAGGCCATTGGTGGAGGAGAATTTGAGTCTTGGTACCGTAACACTTATCTACTCACTAAAACGCTTTCTGCTTGTAGCTATTTTTACCTACATAATCTGGGATGTACAGAAAATGATTTAGTGACCTCCAAACTACATTTTGCTACAATTTACTTGCTTTGATAATAGCAAGTGCTTTGAATTTGAGATAGCATAACATAATTCTCTCTTAACTGAACACACAATTTGGGCTTGTCCACATGGACCTAAGAAACACTTCCAACTCTATTTAAACACCTTGCTAAATATTTCCCTTTATTTTGAACTATGTTGCCTCTGCTTTTCTTTGTTATTGAAGCCAGACTAAGCTGCCTACATTTCTAAAAGAGTGTTATGGAAGCACTAATGCAGAGGAGATAGGGCTAGGAAGTACCACAGATCTAACTGCCCTCTCTGTCTCTCTACAGAGCCAAACCACCAGGGGTACCATGAGTTGAAGGAGACTGCACCATTTAGTCATTACTAGGCCTCCTATGGACTGAATCGATGTGATATAAATGGAGAGGGGGGTTGGGTCACTCTCTATAGTAGTTTTTTAGTAGTGTACAGTATCCACAGAGGCTGTGGACATCATTGAAGAGTTTATGTGATCTGATGACCAACAAAAAACTCTTTTAGAATGACAGGGCAAATTGTTCTGGCTGGAAATGTTATTATACAGTAAGTTTTACTGAGTCTTTGTCTCTCGTTTGTGTATTTATGGGAGCAGTGATGGTTAAAAGTCAAATGGGAGCATGTAAGTGAAAATAGCTGTTGTCACACAGTATAGCATTACCATTTACCAAATATATGTACCATTATGTAGGACTCTATCAAAGTTTACACATGTACAGTTTAGGTTTAGAAATCAATTTTCAGTAATACCTATAGATTCCATTGTCAGTGATGTACTGTTCATTAACTTAGAACATTGTTGAATTCAATTTGTTATTTGCCTTTTTTTACTGCTAATTATGTTAAGGGCGAATTAGGTTTTGTCTGTCTGTAACTTATCAAAAAGGTATATCCAATGTCATACTAAATCATCATTCATCATCATTATAAATAAATAATCACTGATGTTTTCCTCATCAACATTATCCAGCATCTTTGATACGATTTCTTTTCATTTCTGTAGTAGTCATTTTATTTAATTCAGTCAAACTGAATCATGCACATGAGGACAGCAGAGAATCAATGACATTTGAGGAGAGGTCTCCCTAGACACAATCAGAGACCCACTTCATCTCTATGCAAACGGGCCATGGGAAAGAAATATAGGTTGTAGATTTGTGCCACCAGGTGTTGCTGTTCAACCAAATGAGCCCTGAACGACCCGTGTGCAAAAACATTGAATTGCCCACGGATAAAGTACACTATTTAAGGTAGTCAAAGACAAAGGCTGTCAAGATGCCAGCAAGGTAATGAGGGCCATTGGTGTACACGAGGAGTAGATAAAGTAGATCAGAGACTTACAATGTACAAGTGCCTGTTTTTGAAAATACATTTACAAATAGTGGTTGTTTTCTTTTCAGAAATTCTGGTACATGTTCATTTAAAAATGTATATACTGTGATTTATAAATACGGTAGTGAAAAGACAGGGGGAAATTATTATAAAAATACTTTTTAACCTCTAGGATTTCCTCTATTTTATTATAACTGTTGGGTGTCCAAGCTCCTCCTGTAAAAAAAAATGCTGGTCTGATCCCATCATCCATCCGTAACACAGCTCAAACAGATGGTCATGATGAATATCTCAAACGTGGATTTTGAAGAGTAAACTTAATTCAGAGAGACACAGAACATTCTGCTGTTTGGGATGGTACTGTTGTGGGCTTTGCAATATATGGCTGGCTCTATCCACTTGAGGGCATCATTGAGTTATGCTGTAACCAGACGGTCAGCATTGATTTGATAGCTACAGTATTTGGATCCACATCACAAGAGGGGTCAGTGTTGATATTTATAATTCCTGTAATCAAAACAAAAGGGAAAGAAGTCTAATCCAAATTAGCCTTATCAGGCATTCAGCAGGTCCAGATTGCTCTGCCAGAGTCTCCAACAGCTTCTGCGCCACAGCCAATTTCCCAGTCAGTTTGTGTCAGAAGGCTGGTGTTTCCGCAATTGGATCACCGCTTTTTTTGAATTGAGAATTTTGCTGGAAATCTTCATCTGGTTCAGGGACGTCAGCAGGCCCCAACGTGTTGGACATGGTGCTCACACTTAAAGCACTGTCACGGCAATCCAAACAACGCTGATGCCCAATACCATTATCGGGTTTTAAGTGAGTCATGCAGCCCACAGTGTAACAGCATGCTCTGTCTAGGTTTTAAGTGAATACAGAGTTCGACAACTATCTGCTCGAAACTTCTCACTCATGTCTGCATGACAACTCCACGGATAGGAATGGATAAAACACCTGATGCAGAAGCTCTCCATGTTATGGTGCAAATTTGGGTACCGCTTTATATTAAGGTCCCTTTAATAACCATTAATTAGTAGGTAATAAGGCCCTTGTAAGTCCTTACAAGATGCTTATTCACATTCATAAGCCTATATAAGTGTTAATAATGGCATTATAATACAATAAATATCAGGCTATAACACATTTATAAGCATCTTTGCCATGCCTTTTATTAATCTTTTTTTGTTTGCTTATTGATATTAAAATATACTCTATACTTTATTGCTCATCTATTATAAGTTAACTATGCTTTTTGCAGCTACTGGATCTGAAGCGACAACAAGCCTTATTAAGGCTAATATATATTTTTTTTACGTGTTAATTACTGGTTTAAGGCAGCCGGCGGCTGATAGCTTAAAGCCTGGTTTATGCTTCTGCGTTTTTAGAGCGACACCGACGCAAGACCCCCTTGCCCTTGCGTGCCTTTTCACACCTCCTTGCGTCCTTGCGTGTGTCGAGCCATTTTTCTAGGCTTGCGTTGCTTTCGACGCAAGCGACGCAAGCCTCCCGCAGCGCACAAGGCTGCGATTGGTCCGCTAACTACATCCTTTACGGAGTCTCACATTTCCGCTTTCATAGCCCGACACCCCCATTATTAAACGAAGAATGTTTACGAGAGAACGGATCAGATTTAAGAGCTTTTGTCGGAAGAAATGCGTAAATATGGCCGCTTATACAACCCGTAATTGGTGCGGGTTGGATTCATGGAGGGAGATCGCAGCAAACGCCGGTTTGCCGGTTGTGGAGGAAAATACGGGACAAATGTGTCCGCGATGAAAAGCAACAGTGGCGATACACGGGGCAATAAAGTCTATGATAAATAAATAAACAAATAAATAAATAGACGTGACTCTCTAGGTCGCCAGCCTTTACACCTGCTTACACACACACACGATTGACGTGAACGTCCTTCTGATCCCGCCTGAAAAGTGGAGGCAGTGGCCCCAACATCTCCCTCACGTCGGATTCAAACGCAAAGTGGACCTCGAAAACAAGCCGAGAAGAGGAAGCGTAGTGAGGGTAACTCCTCTGGTAAGTTTAACTGCTACTAACTAGTTAGTACAAAGTAAAATATGAGGGGCCGTTTAGGACTTAACTACTGAGACACTCTCACGCATACTAATGAAACAGAGACACTCATACATAATAATACATTATTGAACAACGCTATTGAAATGCTCTCGCGCACACCACTGAGACACTCTCACGCGTACTAATGAAACACTTGTGCGCATCTCACTGCTGTTCGTGAGTGAAATCTCACTGGGGTTCGTGAGTGAAATCTCAGTTATACCGCAAGGTGGAAGCAAAGAGGGCGGGTTTTGAACAGCGAACAGCGCCAATCTTACGTCCTTGCTTAACATGCTTTTAAGTCCGGACTCGCCGTCTTTATATAGGTCCACATTTATAAATACTACCATATTTAAGTGACGGAATGTAATTTTAGGACCTTTTCAGACTGGAAGTTAGTTGTTTAAGCAACATTTCTGCGGCCGGTTTATCAACATTCAGCCTTCGTAACAATTTGCTCCGAGGATGTTGGAGATGTGACGTCTAGTTAACGGGACCGTCTGACTCCTCCAGCACCGGGCGGTCAGCTCATCTCACGCCGCAGAGAGCAGCCTGTTCACTGTTCAAAAACCCGCCCTCTTTGCTTCCGCCTTCCGGTGTAACTGAGATTTCACTCACGAACCACAGTGAGATGCGCACGAGTGTTTCATTAGTATGCGTGAGTGTCTCGGTGGTGTGCGTGAGAGTGTCTCAGTAGTTAGGTCCTAAACGGCCCCTCATAGTCAAACATGCATCCAGCTACTAGCTAGTAGTGATGTGTCGTTCGTGAACGATTCGTTCATTTTGAGGTTCATTAAGGTTCGTTCACCTTACCACCTCCCACCCCGCCAACAAATGACTCGAAGAAAGATTTGTTCGTTCATCTTACCACCCCCCCCGACATGAACGAATGACTCAAAAAAAGATTTGTTCATTTTACTGAAAGAGATTCAAAGAACCGAGTCAGTAAAATGATCCGAACTTACCGTCACTACTAGCTAGCTAAAGCAAGGCTTATGACCGTTACTGCCCATTGAGTGATGGAAGCACGTTAGCAGTCACAAGTCAATCGCTCCCCTGTATATCAGTGAGCAATGAGTTTGTTACAAACACCTGACACGTGGCTATGATATAGGATACTTGGTTACATTAAAAACGCTGTTTTTATAATAAAATACTCTAGTTTATGCATTTGGTGTCTGGTATGTTCTTTAAACATTTCTGCACATGATATTTGCTGTTGAGTTAAATAATGAAAATTAACAACCGTAGAGTGTTATTGTGGGGTATTTCCAGACTTTTTAACTTTCTTTTTAATTAATGTCATTATTATGAAAACACAGATTGCAAGATAAACTGCATCATTATCTATACATATAACTGGAAACAAAAATATATTATGTTTTATAGCCATTACTGCTGCTCTCTTAAATTGAGGTATTTTGTATGGAAATCAGCCTTTTTAATGTAACTACCAAATATCCTTTATAATGACCACATGTCTGATATTTGTAACAAATATTAGGCTACCACAAGAAAATTTTTATTCTCTACCAACTCCTCAGATTCCTCTTCCTCTCCAAGCTCGGAGAATGGAAAGAAGAAGAAGAAGATGAAGAAGTCAAAGAAGAAGAAGGGAAAGAAAGTAACAACGGAGAGAGGAAACAAAAAGATCAGACGGAGCCGTGTTTCAAGGGGTAATTTATGTAAATGAAAACTAAGATTTAGACGATAGTTACTGGCTGTTTATTGTTTGGTGTGTGACTTAATGTCGTCAGTTTCAATGAAGAGGAGTGAACTTGCAGGTAAAAGGTGAAAGTAACACTTATGTAGTCCACCTATGTGCAAGAAAGCTGTGACACTGTTGTGTTGTAGACTATGCCTACTGAATGATGTTAGTGTTGCATTGTTAGTAAACTTCATGAATGGTTTAAAGTTCTTGAATGGAAGATCCTTTATGTCACTAAGACGAACATCTACTCTTTCTTCTTCACCATCAGCACGTGGTCCAGATGAGGTAATTGCACGTTACCGGAAAGTGTTGAAGGTCTACAAGAAGAAGAATACCGTCACTGCTGCTTGCAGAATAGTGGGAGTGAATTGCAATACAATTGCCTTGAATGCACCAATTGCAGAGCTTTCCATTGCTGCACCTGAAAAGTTTGCGGAGTTTAAAGATCAGCATACAACAAAGCACAGGTTTTGTAGTCTGTTGCCTGTTGGAAAAGGGGAATTTTGAATTGATGTTGTGCTGATAGACCATGTTTTAAAAAAAAGTTAAGTTAAATGTTCAGGGGAAAAAAAATAATAATAATCTACCTCAGTTTTATCATGCGCTTTAAGGTAATTTCAATGTTTTTGATAATATGACTAGATTTTAACAGACCCTGAAAGTGTTTTTATTTTTTACATTTGTAGTCCACAGCAATAAATAAAACAATTTTGGCCTTCACAGTTGAAACCCTTGTATTATGCTTTTTTTCCTTCCCATTATATCAGCCTTGACCACATTTTAGATGTGGAGATTTTGAAAACCATTAACCAGTAATTAACACGTAATAAAATATTCATTAGCCTTAATAAG